AGGGTTTAGGGTTTAGTTTGGGGTTTGGGGTTTGGGGTTTAAGGGTTAGGGGTTTGGGGTTAGGGGTTAGGGGTTAGGGGTTAGGGGTTAGGGGTTAGGGGTTAGGGGTTAGGGGTTAGGGGTTAGGGGTTAGGGGTTAGGGGTTAGGGGTTAGGGGTCAGGGGTCAGGGTTTGGGATTTAGGGTTTGGGTGTAGGGTTTAGGGTTTAGGGTTAGGGTTTAGCAGATGTAGGGCGTCGCTTCACCCTGATGTTCCAACCACGAGCAAATGCCCTCTCAAGCAACCTGAGCCACCCCAACAAGGACGCCAGCCTCAACACGAAGCTCCACGCAAGAACAACCGAGGCTGTCGCTAGAAATCCTCTGAAAGGTATTGCTGGAAAAAGGCCCTCTCAAACCCACTCAAACCCAAGAAGGGACCATAGACAAAAGGCCACCTAAGAAAACTGTTTGGTTACTCCAGCTCAGCCAATGCGGGCCGCAGGCGTAGCCTCCCACTTGTTAAAAGCCCTGACAACGCCCGCGGAGGCTTTGGGGGTGTCCGGAGCTGCTTGCATCTGCTTGCATAAGGGTTTAGAGGGTTTAGGGTTTAGGGTTTAGGGTTTAGGGTTTAGGGTTTAGGGTTTAGGGTTTAGGGTTTAGGGTGTGTCAGGGAGGGTGCGCGCTGGGGTGTGAAACGCCCCGGGCCGCGCGCTCGCGTTGCCCGTCAACCCACCCCGGATTTCCTTGAAGGAGGCCTTGCTGCGAGCTGGGAAAGGCACGAAATCCTGCTCCCTTCTGCTGGAGGCGCCTTGTGAGCCCCTGCCTGGGAGGCCCCTGACACCCCTGCTGAGAGGCCTGGGCGGGAGGGGACCTGGGAGGCCCACCCAAACTGGCCTAAAAAGCGCAACCGGCCTGCCTGAACCCCTGGCTGGCCTGCTCCAGGAATCCAGTCACCGGCGCCCCGAGGCGAAGGGTCAGGCTTTGGGGTTATGCTTTGCTAAAGGTGGTTTGGGCACGGCCATCCCTTAGCCGAGTACTGACGTTGTCGTAAGGAAGGCCGATGTCCGTTGGCCTGTCCAGGACAGACGGCGAGGCTTAACCCTCACCTTTCCGTTTCTCTTTTCGCTTGGGCGCTCGGGCTGTAAGGCGCTCGTTCGGGGTCTGTCGCTCGACGGAAGCGACCCCTCACTTAGTTTAGGGTTTAGGGTTTAGGGTTTAGGGTTTAGGGTTTAGGGTTTAGGGTTTAGGGTTTAGGGTTTAGGGTTTAGGGTTTAGGGTCTAGGGTTTAGGGTTTAGGGTTTAGGGTTTAGGGTTTAGGGTTTAGGGTTTAGGGTTTAGGGTTTAGGGTTTAGGGTTTAGGGTTTAGGGTATAGGGTTGGGGTCTCTGGAGCTGCTTGCATAAGGGGGCTCCAGCTCAGAGAAGCCAACTAAGGGGGTGTGGGAAGCTGAGGGTTGATTGCCTCAGGGTTCTATACGGAGTTGGGGGGGTGTAGGGCCTATAGGGCTATGAGGGCTTAACCCTAAACCCTAAACCCTAAACCCTAAACCCCTTAGGGCATCTTCCAAAAATCGCCCACATGGCCATGCACATGATCACTGCCTGGAATGGGGCTTGCCTTGCAGCGAAGGCTACTCCAAAGTTCATGGGTAGTTACAAGTGGGGCATTAGAAGTAGGGCAACTGTAGCTATAACTGGTTACAACCTGCTTTAGGGAACTTACAACCCTTGCGAAAAGCTATAGAATATGTGGTAGTCTCCTTTCGCATTATGGCCCTACTAATAACTACAAAATGAACCTCCAAGTCGTCGAAGGGGCGTTGGCGCTCCCGGAGTGCCCAGGAGCTGATGCTTCCGACTCTTTCGGAGGCTTTTCTAGAGTTTGCTTAAGAACCCCCCCAAAAAAAAAAAGCTTAATCCCCAAATTACCCTTATAAGGAAGGTTTTGTTTTAATTTTTGGGGGGTTCAACCCCCCCCCAAAAAAACAACAAGATCCCCACATTGCCCCTATAAGGAAGAATATTTTTTGGGGGAGGGTCCTTAAGCACTTCGTAGTTTAATGATAGGCAATCATCCCTATACTACCCTTACAAGGAAGATTCTTTGTGTTTTTCCTATTTTTTGAGGGGTCCTTAAGCAATTCGTAGTGTTCGGGTCTCTCCCCGGCTGGGCCGCGCGGTCGCTGCAGCTCTCTTCCCAGGTCCACTGACACTCGGGAACCTCTAAACCCTAAACCCCAAACCCCAAACCCCAAACCCTAAGCCCTAAACCCTAAACCCCAAACCCCAAACCCTAAACCCCAAACCCCAAACAGCGCACCCTAAAACCTGAAGACCTTAGACTGGAGCCTCAACACCTTCCAGGGTCTACAGGCTTGGGAGGCGGCTAAGGCTGGGGACACGGTCTGGGCGGGCGCAGCGACCTACGCACATGCAATCCTTGGGGGCTAAATGAACCCTAGAAGGTTTAGGGTTTGGGGCTTAGGGTTTAGGGCTTAGGGCTTGGGGTTAGGGTTTAGGGCTCAGGGTTAGGGTTCAGGGTTTAGGTTTTAGGGTTTAGGGTTTAGGGTCTATACCTTAGTAAGAATTTAAGGTTTAGGGGTTAGGGTGTTTAGGTTGTCCACATTACTTTAGTCGGATGTTCGGGTATCTAAGGATTGCTCGCCTGATCCTGAATTAGACGGTCACCCGGGTCACGCACCACGTAATGCCGCTCGTTTTGGGTTTTTCGGTGCCACTTCGGATATTTGAGTGAGGGTTTGCTGAGGGGAAACACCACTCAAAGTTTTGTCCTGGGCTTATGTTTCATTCTCTGTGTTGACTACAAACAAAAATATGTATTCACGGAATGATTGTCTCGACGGAGGCGAGAAAAAGGCAACGAGGCGAGGACAAGGAGGGGGAGTACGGGCGAGGGGAAGCGTGACATTCGGTTGAGGGGCATGGCGCAGGGCGAGAGATATCCCGCTCACGGCAAGGGAGCGAGCGGCCGCACGCGTGGACAAGGGGTTCAGAGCGCGATACTATCAGGGTGTGGACAGGGGGGGAGAGCGTGATGGCCTGTTGATGCAGGATGTGTCGCTCCGCAGGCGCTCACGCCCTCCGCATCTCCTCCTCCAGCGCCTTCCGCCCTAGGGATACTCGGTCTCTCTGCAGGCCGCTTTGGCGATGGGCACTGGGCATGTTCGGGGCGGCACGCGGCCCTTTTATTGTGAGCAACTCAGGTACTCGGCAGGACTCTCGGCTTCTGGGCCCTCGGGGACACTCGGCGGGACCCTTCGCAGGATTCTTTGCGGGCACTCGACGCGATCACAACGCGCCACTGGAAAAACCCCAACCCCCCAACGCAACCCCTGCAATGCAAGACGCTCTCCTTCAGTCTCTCGCGAGAAGCTTTGGCCAAGAAATGTAGGTCTCGAAATCCGCTGGGGATGGGCGGCTTCTCTGTCTGGGAATGGGCACTCCACGGGACACCGGGCGAGGAGGCGAGCAGAATGGAATCGAACAACCCCACACCGGCTCATGCGGAATTATGTCTTGCAGGAAACAGAAGCCGAACACAGAAAGGTAAAACTACTTGAAAATCAATAGCCCTAGCAAATTAAAAAAAAAACTGGAGGTAGCTAAATCGTACGAAAAAGAGGTGCATTCTTTGTGACATTCGGAATATGTTGTGGACTTTGTGTAACATGTTTGCAGCTCAACTCTGGCATAAAGTCGAACAAGGATTTAAAGTTGCTCTCAACAGTGGGGGGGGGGTTGTATCTGGGTAGGCTAAAGTGTTGAAGGTTAAGGGTTAAGGCCTAAGGGCTTAACTTGAACGCATGTTTACTCGCTTCTTCCTAGGAGAACATGTGTGCAGGCCCTAACTAGCTCAACGCGGCTGGCGTGCTCGTGACCTCTGCGAGCCAATTTTGCTCCGCGAGCGAGAGATTTTCATGCTCGAACCCTAAACCCTATAAAAAAAAATCCTACACAGTCCGGCCTCAACAGTAAGCCACCCCCACCTCCCCCTCCCCCAGAGCCGGCGGGTACTAAAGCCCTGCGGTCAGTGAAACGAAACTCTGGGGATGGACCCTGTTGCAGCCCCCAAGGGTGGTGATTCGGGACCATTGCGTCGTTGGCAAGGTTCTCGATACCCCCCAAGGGCGGCAACACGCGTGGAGGCATAAGCCTCGTGAACTTACAAGGCGCGCGCCTTAAGACGGGAGTAATATCGGGGCCTTAATCAAAGGATATTGTAGTATAATTTTAAACCATAAGGGAATGCTATTAGATACTATTAGAACTTTTTCCGACCCCTATAGTACCATGGCAACCGGGTGTTTCGTGGGCAGCGTTGGTAGCTGCAGCGAGCACTCTTTGCATACGCCGCCAGGTCTCACGGCCACGACCACATGTGCTCAGCCCTATCTAAATTTAATGAATTCGTAGCAAGCTGCATGTGAACAGACTGAACAGACTGAATAGACTCAACAGACTTCCGACATTGCCGCGTTCTCTGCTAGCGGTTGCACGCCGCCGCTTGTGTTCCATTCGGTATTTAGAGTGGGGCGTTCAACTGTGAGACCAAGGTTTGACGTGTAAAACCCAACCACAAGAGTCATACACCCTCGTTTTTCCTGCCCACACCCCCCCCCCCCCCTGGATGAAGTCTAAATATTTCTACCCCAAACTCAACGCCTCACTACCCTAAGCCTAAACCCTAAACCCTAAACCTAAACCCTAAACCCTAGACGATAGACGTCTGCAAAGGAAACTCTGAGAGACAAAGCCGAGTGTGCATGATCTTGGCCCATCCCCGCATCCTTCCTCCTGGGTCGGCCTTTAAAAATCCCTTCAGGGTTGAGGGCTGAGGGCTGAGGGCTGAGGGCTGAGGGCTGAGGGCTGAGGGTTGAGGGTTGAGGGTTGAGGGTTGAGGGTTGAGGACTTAGGGTTTTCGCTGAGTGTTTAGGGCCCTAAACCCTAAACCCTAAACCCTAAACCCTAAAACCCACAAAGGCCAAAAGGCCAACCCAGTCTCAGGTGCCAGTCTGCGTGGGCCAAGCCCTTGGACTTGGTGTGGGGCTCCTGCCGCATTGGGGGGGGGGGGGGGGGGGGGGGGGGGGTTCCCCCCCTTTCCGAAGGTTTAGGGTTTAGGGTTTAGGGTTTAGGGTTTAGGGTTTAGGGTTTGGGGTTTGGGGTTTAGGGTTTAGGGTTTAGGGTATAGGGTATAGGGTAAAACCGAAACCGCGAAGCGGGGCCATCCCATTCCCAAAGAAGCCTGTAGGGCCATGGATTTCCCAATGAAAGCCCAGCTGCTCACAATACTCTGGCTGGTCCTAATCTAGACCCGGGAGAAACCCAGGAATAAAAAGGGTACCCTTTTTGGTTTTGCCCCCCAAGCCTAAAAAAAGGAGCAACAAAAAGGGGGGGGGGGGGGGGGGAACTCCCGATCCTAGTAATAGCCTGTCTTTATTCCCCACTCCCACTCCCTCTCTGAGAACACGCAAAAACTTCAAACTACTTAGGGTGTAGAGTCTAGGGCTTCGGGAGCACTCGTAATGCCAATGTAGCAAGACCTCAGGAATCTTCATGCCCAAATCCCCAAGCCCCATTTCGACTCTAGACCTTCCAAAGTCTCACCGAAGCTCACATAGGAACAAAAGGCAGCCCAACTAAATAATCCAATAACACTAGTGATCATCATGCCAGCCAGCCAAACTTACAAGACCCGCCCCTCCCGCCTTTCCCCCGCCCCCACCCACGGCCCCCGCGCCCCCCGTCAAGCGCGCCTCCCGCGGAAGCGGTTCTCTGCAGCCTTGATCAGGTCCGAAAGGTCAGGATCTTTGGCCGCCTGGCAGAGGCTGGGGTGTGGGCCCTTATGCGCGGAGGCCTTTCCCCCGGCAAGTTCTTTATCACTTCGCGGTTGAGTTTGCTCCCGAGCCTTCTGTCAGAAGATACCTGCATCCGTATTCAGGTGGGGACGGTCGGGCTCCTTTGCGAGTCAAGTCCCCTAAAGCAGGTTTTAGGGTGTAGGGTTGGGATTCTCGTACCGCCGATGAGAATCCCTATTCAGGACTGTTAGTATAAGGGGGAACATTCCAAGCTCAGGGTTCCCGACTGGACTGAGTGTAAGCCTGCTTTCTTAGGGTAGTTACATGGTCCTTTAGTATGTGAAAAGGGTCCCCTTCTGTACCCCTTCTATACCCTATACCAACTAAGGGTTCGTACATCAGAGCCCGTTAAAAGAGGTTAGGGATCATCTTCAGGGTCCATGAACCTACCCTTAGATTCCTTTTGCAGCCCAGCAACAATTCTTATTAAAACCAACGCTCTTCTTTGCGTTGGCTGCTGCTATAAGTGAACCCCAAAAACGAAACAAAGGGGCAAAAGGGTAGCAACCTGGAAAAAACAACTCCCAAGGCGGCACCCTGCGATCTTTGAGGTTTGCAGGTTAGGGTTGAGATTCCTGCTTTGTAGCGCCGAATCATTCTATGCTACCGCTTACCCAACCAGCGGACATCATGCACTTGGTATCAAGTCGGGCTAGGTGCATGCAAGGTATGCGTTACACACGTCATCTGCGCGTTGTGAATGAGCTGAGCCCTTGCGTTAGTCCCTGAGAACGGCGACGCAATTCTTTCCCACCTCTACATGACAGAAACCCGAAGCCCTACACCCGAAGCATTCCTCCATGCATGGGTATCTCCAAAAAATGGGGAGGGAGTAGCCCTTACTTACCGCCAAGAAGACGCGTCGTGCTTGCTCTCTGGGAACCCCGACAAAAAACTCAGGAACCCTACCGGATTCTTAGGGGACCTAAACCCTAAACCCTAAACCCGAAACCCTAAACCCTAAACCCTAAACCCTAAACCCTAAACCCTAAACCCTAAACCCTAAACCCTAAACCCTAAACCCTAAACCCTAAACCCTAAACCCTAAACCCTACACACCAAACCCTCCCTGCGTAGAGAGCCTGCTCTGCTAGTTCTTCGCGGACGCTGCGACCGGCCTGCACAGCAACAGTTCGCACGTCACAGGCGCTCGCTTTCTTTGCGATGAGTACTCTTGAGAGAAACCCTAAACCCTAAACCCCAAACCCTAAACTTTCTCCAGCTGGTAAGGGCCTCTTGCATAAGATCACCAAACACACTTTGCAGCACATAACCCCTACCGAAATGAAGGCCTAGAGGCCCTAAACCCTAAGAACTCGAAGCCTACGACCTACGATTGTGTAGGATATCCTCTTCGCGTGATTGAGTTCTTTTGCTATGACTCGCTATGGCAACACAACATCTTGCAGGCCTCTTGGGTCCCTGAACCCTAACCCTAAACCCCAGACCCCAAACCCTAAACCCCAAACCCTAAACCCTAAACCCTAAACCCCAAACCCTAAACCCTAAACCCTTAGGTTTAAAGGGCATCTGTGCGGCCCTAACGGTCCACTCAGCCAGGGCCAACAGCCTCCTCCCCTTCGTTGGGCCGCTGCGTCCGCGGCGTTCGTGCCGTCACCACCTGAACCCGGTTCGGGGTTTAGGGTTTAGGGTTGAGGGTTTAGGGTCTTTTAAGGGTCTAGGGTTATTTGAGGGTTTTAGGGTTTAGGGTTTGGGGTTTAGGGTTTAGGGTTTAGGGTTTAGGGTTTAGGGTTTAGGGTTTAGGGTTTAGGGTTTAGGGTTTGGGGTTTGGGGTTTAGGGTTTAGGGTTCAGGGTTAAGCAGCTGAACCCGACCTGACTCATCAACCCCGGCCCGAAGCCCTGGAAACACTAGCCCCTTAACCCTGAACCCTGAACCCTGAACCCCAAACCCCAAACCCCAAACCCTAAACCCTAAACCCTAAACCCTAGAGCCTCAACCCTAAACCCTAAACCCTAAACCTTAAACCCCCACACTTCCTGAACCCTACACTTCCTACGCCCTAAGCCCTACACTTCCAAAACCCTAAACCCTTAAACCCTAAGCCCCAAACTTTAAACCCTAACCCCTCAACCCTAAACCCTAATCCCTAAACCCTAAACCCCAAACCCTAAAACCTAAACCCCAGACCCTACACTTCCTAAACCCTACACATCCTAAACCCTCAACCCTACACTTCCTAAACCCCAAACCCTAAACCCCAAACCCTAAACCCTAGACCCTACACTTCCTAAACCCTAAACCCTAAACCCTAAACCCTAAACCCTAAACCCTAAACCCTAAACCCTAGGCCTTCCGGGAGTCCAGGGCGGCCGGAGCCTTTCAGAGCTTTGAGTGAAGGTTGCCCCAGCCCTGTTTAGGGGGCCTGATTGTCAATGAGTCTTTGTAGGGTTTAGGGTTTAGGGTTTAGGGTTTAAGGTTTAGGGTTTAGGGTTCAGGGGTTTAGGGCTTCGGGTTTAGGGTTTAGGGCTTATTGTATCTTATAGAATGCCTTCCATGGGTTTTATAGAGTCTGTTCCCCTCCTCCTACTAAGAACAACCCCTCAACCCCTGAGCCCAGAACCTTTGGTTGGAAGTTGGCCGCGTGCCCGCAAGAAACACCCAGAGGATGTAAAGGCAGGTTTGGGTTTTGGGTTTTAGGGTTTAGGGTTTAGGATTTAGGGTCTAGGATTTAGGGTTTTGGGTTTTGGGTTTAGAGTTGTGCTGGGATGTGTCCCCTGCATACTAAGACTCCTTAGTGGGGATTAGAGTACCCCCCCCCCCCCAAGATGATCCCGATTAAGGACTGTTAGTACAAGGGGGAACATCCCAAGCAGTATGCAACTACGACAGATCACCTGCTGCGCTTGGGGCTGCGGAACCTCACCAAAAATCTCCTTCTAAACCAAGCCCCTGGCCCCCGACCCACTCTGCCATCAAACCCGAGACAAGCACGGCCCTCCCGTGCGCCGTCCGCATCCCCCCCCCCCCAATGCCCGCGCGCACCCAAGACCCGAAACCACTGCCTCGGGGAGGATGCTCTTCGGCGACTGCATCCCGACCTCGTCGGCTAGTCATGCTGGGAGCTGTGCAGGGTGAGGGACGTTAGAAGGACAGCAGAGCGCCCGTTTGGAAACCACATGGCTCGTTGCCGACAACAATGCTGAAGCGGCGAGCTTGTGGGAGGCGCTGACGCTTCCTTTAGGTGGCTCAAACCCTAAACCCTTAACCCTTAACCCTAAACCCTAAAAGCTAAACCCTAAACCCTAAACCCTGGCCTTCCTGAAGACCGGCGGATTGGCCAAGGTCGCCTGGGACGGAGGCTCTGGGACCTGGCAGGGTTTTTTGGGCGGCGCACAAAAACTGGTTTAGGGTTTAGGGGTTTTGGGGTTTCGGGTTTAGGGTTTGGGGTTTTGGGTTTAGGGTTTAGGGTTTGGCGTTTAGGGTTTTAAGGTTTCAGGGGTTTAGGGGTTTAGGGGTTTCGGGGTTTAGGGGTTTAGGGGTTTAGGGGTTGAGGGGTTTAGGGGTTTAGGGGTTTAGGGTTTAGGGGTTTAGGGGTTTAGGGTTTAGGTTGGGATGTTCCCCAATATTCCCCAGAGGGTCCATTTGTACTACCATCATGGAATTTGGTACCCCAAAGTCTTGTACGGAATGTGGTTCCCCAAAGCCCTGTTTAAAAGAGTTTTTGGGTACCTCATGCCATAATAGTACTGCAAATGGACCGTCTGGGTACTAACTAACTGTCCTTAGTAGGGGCAGCGCGTGCTGTAGAGCCGAACAGCCTCATAACGTCATAGTGGCCCTAGTGTATAACCCTCCTAAACCCTAAACCCTAAACCCTCATAACCCTCAGAGTCCGGAAACCCTCGTCCGCCCGTACGCCCTCAAGACCCAAGGAGGGGGGGGGGGGTTGACTCCTTAGATTGGCTTTATCTCCATGAAGAATTCAGGTCCTTTTGTCAGGAGAGCGGACACAGCAACCCCCCGCCCCCCCCCCCCCCCGACAAAAAAATTAACACACACACACACACACACACAAGAGCAGCCTTGTCCGGCTTGAGAAACGGCGGCTCCTGGGATCAGACTTTGTGCTCTTTGCGCGCCGCCCCCCGCCCCCCCCCGGTCTCGGTGCTTTCTGCGCGGTCTTGCGGCTTTGGAGGGCGGCATCCCGGTCCCCGTTAGCATCCGGGGGGGGGGGGGGGTTTGGTGACTTTGGGGCTTCAGGATAGACCTGCTCGTAAGCCCCAAATGCCCATCACTATGCCACTACCGCCTTCGGATTCGGAGCCCTCACGTCCCCCAAAAATCCCCAAACCCTTGCGGCCCTTGAGGCCTCCATGGGCGGCGGCATCGCCAGCTGGACCGAGACCTCCGTCATCTGCTGTGCGGAGTGGCTGGAGGCCTGCAAGAAGAAGGCTTGCTGCGAAACACTGTTTCTTCAGGGGCAGCAGCACCAGCTCGGGCAGCCAAGACCCTGTGGACCCGTCAATGAGCCTGGTGTTCCTGAACTAAGAGTCCTGCCAGCCGAGTTCTTCACCCCAACAAACCCCAAACGCCCTCGCCCAGCAAGCTCTTGCTGGGTCTTTTGCAGTTGCCCTGCCTGAAGCTTAACAACCAAACCCACAAAACCGTCTCGTTTGAGGAAGGCACCGCAAGTCGGAGAACGCCAGGGCCGAGTCCGAAAAGGCCAGCAGGAGTCGGAAAGAGCCGAAACCCGAGTCGAGAACATCCGCTGCTGGCGGCGCAGTGTGGCTCTGACGGGACTCTGCCCGATTGATGTCTTCGTGGCGGTTGGGTCTGGTCAGGTGCCGGCAACCCTTGCACTGCGACGATCTGAGGCAAACAGTCCGGGTGTGGGGAAGAGGCGCATCTTCCTTCCAAGGGCCCCAAATGCCCATGACCACTACCGCCCCTTGGGGTCTTCGGAGCCCCCACGTCCCCCAAAAATCCCCGAACCCTTGTGGCCCGGCCTCCATGGGCGGCGGCATCGCCAGCTGGACCGAGCCCTCCTTCATCTGCATTCCGGAGTGGCTGGAGGCCTCCAAGGAGACCCCAACTCAGGGAAACAAGGGGTGGTTCCTGTGGACCCATGAGACATTGAGGTGTTCAACTGTTCCTGTGCTAAGAGCCCTGGAAGTTGAAATGCTGAGAAGCATTCTCGAGTTCCGCAACAAGACCGCTTTCGCTGCTTGAACGCCCCGGACACCTTAGGACAAAGCCTTCGGACAGGGGTCGGCCCCATACCTCGGCGCCGGCGCTTTTGCACCTCAATCGTCCCCCATTCGGCATTCGAGCTTTCAATCGCGCGGCGTTCCAATCTGGCGCTCCCCCCTCAGTCCCGTGCGCAAGCGCAGAACTGTCAGCGCTTTTGAGCGGGTGTCATGCTCTTTGGAGACCAAATGAGTGCTAAAAAGGGGACCATTGATACCCTAAACTACATAAAACCTATGAAAGTATACGGAACACAAACCCTTTTGAGGATTTACGTAGTTCCCGAGGGTTGGGGTGCTCTTGGCATGGCCTTGGAGTCTTCTTGGCGTGCTCCTGAGGTGCTGTTGGCGTTTTCAAGGGATGCTCTTTGGCACTTCGGGATGTATGCCGGGTGGGACCAAAAAAGCACCTTGGCTTCGAAATATGGAGCAGCCCCCAACTACCCAATGTTTGCACCTCCACCCCAGAAATCCCGAGACGCAAACCATGCCATAAGTACCCCCAAACCCACTTCGTTTGCGGGCTCTTGCTTCATAAAGCAGGTACCCCACCTCCAATGTCCGGGACAGATTGCACGGAAACCCTAAACCTTAAACCTGGGATGTTCCCCCTTCCCTCATAGGGATGATACTAGGTAGGGGGGTACTATAATCCCTGTTAAGGATTGTTAGTATACGGGGGAACATCCCAACGAGAAACCCTTAAAACCCTAGGCAAGTACAGGAGTCGAGGACAACACTTTGACCCTCCCCCATATCGTCGTTCCACCCGAGCCATCGACATTCCAGTCACCCTAGCCCTAAACCCTAAACCCTAAACCCTAAACCCTAAACCCTAAACCCTAAACCCCAAAGATGCAAAACGCGGGTCACCTGCAGGTGCTCTGCCTGTCGACACTCCTCCTCCTCATCCTCCTGGCAGTTGCATTCGGGATGGGGGGTGTTGGGCAGCAAACCTTTCAATTCTAGTGCTGGCCCTTGAAACCCTGTGAATTATGGTCCTCTTAAACCCCAAAAAGGGAATGTAATATGGTCCTCTTTTAATCCCAAAAAGGGAATGTAATAGGGTCCTCTTAAACCCCAAAAAGGGAACGTAAAATGTCCCAAGGGCCTACCGAGAATTCGGGTTCAGGGGACCGCGGGGGTGTGAGGAAGATCCGGGGACCGAGTGCATCTGCTGTAGGGGCAGCCGCAGCCCTTCACCTCCCCTAAACCCTAAGCCCTAAGCCCTAAGCCCTAAGCCCTAAGCCCTAAGCCCTAAACCCTAAACCCTAAACCCTAAACCCTAAACCCTAAACCCTAAACCCTAAACGCGAACGCTCATGCTCAGGCTTGACATTGTTCCGAAGCCTTACAGCATCCTTCAGTTCACAAGTTGCAGCAAAAAAATCTTTATCACATCCAAAGCCCGAGACTCCCTCGCCTAACACACTGAACAAATGCCTTGGTCTCTCTTCAGGTCTTGCAGGCTTGGATGCACCTTTGCCTTAAACTGACAACCCAGACCCCTCGAAACCTTCCAAACTCCCCAAGCTGTGGGTTCCTGACCCTCCCCACAGCCTCCATCTCCGTGGACCCATCGGGCGCTTGAAGTGACATGATGAGGATGGGCTTCATCAGCTCCTTGACCGAAGCTTAGGGTAGGGTCCGGTTCTCCAAGGCATCTTAACCCCCGAACGTGTGAGATGGAGACCGCGCCTGAAGTCCTCCTGACCATCTCAACCCCTCTCCCAGATAAAGCACAAGGACTGAACCTAACACTCGCAAAACGCTGAAAACTGAACCCCCGACCCCGAACCTGCGAATGCACAACTCACCAAAGTTTAGTCATGCCTCACGAGTTGTATACACGCTGCATTCAGGGCCCGCTATCGGGTTTTTTAGGGAGGCGCGCGCTCTTAAGAGGCTCTTGAGGAAATCTAGGCCCAGGCTTCCCAGGAGGGCTCAAGGTGGTTTCAAGCTCTTTGACTTCAGATATGGTCTTATGAATGCATGCTTTATAATTCGGGGCAGCCACACACCGTCACGAATGATGTCAGTGTCCGAAGGTAGAGCAACCCGGATAGTTGTTCGATCTTCCAGTCAGAAGGGGGTTTCCGAAATTAACTGTACTTTATTGGGGTCCTGATGAATGATGAGGGGATCCTACTATTCGGGGATCTATATTGGGGGTCTCCTATTTTCGTAAACCCCCCTGAATCCTGAACAAACCCTGAGCCCCTCGAAGCAAACCCAACTCTAAACCCTAAACCCTGAGAACCCGAGGGCCAGCGTGGCTCCTGTGGCACTTCCATGCTTTCCTGCATTCGCGCAAGTGGCTTACAGGCTAAGAGCTGGAGTTAGACCGTGTTGGCCTTGAATTTGTTCCTTATCTATATGTATGTATATATATATATATATATGTATGTATATATATATACATGTATATGTGTGCATAGATATGTGTTATATCTATATATCATATGTATATGTATATACATATACATATACATATACGTATACATATACATACACATATACATATACATATACATGTACATATACATATGCATATACATATGTATATATATATATATATATATATATATATATATATATTAGTTTATTTGTTAGCTGTTTATACTCGTATTGAAATTTAAACTCTACATATATATATATATATAGGGTCCTTCTAAAACCAAGTAAGGAAAATGCAAAATATCCCACAAGCCAACGGAGTAGAGGGCTTTGCGTCCTAAACTTCCGCAAGCACCGGGGAACAAGTCCCGGTGACCTCCCAGGTGCACGCCGGAGGCTCTCGACACCCATCAAAGCCTTAAAGCCCAAAGCCTAAAGCCGAAACCCTAAACCCCAAACTCTAAACCCTAAACCCAAAAGGCCCATCTTGGAGCCCACAAAATACAGCCCGTTCTGAAGCCTAGGGGGTGGGAGTAGGGGGACGCTTGGGGAAATAGACCCTCTGAAGAAGGTCCCTGTTTAAGAGAGCCAGAATAAGTGGGTTTAGGGTTTAGGGTTTAGGGTTTGGGGTTTAGGGTTTAGGGTTCAGAAGGGTTCAGAAGGGTTCCCTTTTACGGGCCCCCCTTGTCCTACCTAGTGTGCCGGCCTCATCTTCGCTGGGACTTTCCGAGGCCGGCACGACCTCGAGCACCTTGGCGGGATTGGGAAGGCCTTTTTGTTTGGTTTAGGGTTTAGGGGTTAGGGTTTAGGGTTTAGGGTTTAGGGTTTAGGGTTTAGGGTTTAGGGTTTAGGGTTTAGGGTTTAGGGTTTAGGGTTTAGGGTTTAGGGTTTAGGGTTAGGTTTAGGGTTTAGGGTTTAGGGTTTAGGGTTTAGGGTTTAGGGTTTAGGGTTTAGGGTTTAGGGTTTAGGGTTTAGGGTTTAGGGTTTAGGGTTTAGGGTTAGGGTTTAGGGTTTAGGGTTTGGGGTTTGGGGTTTGGGGTTTAGGGTTCAGGGGCCTTTAGGGTTTAGGGTTCAGGGGAATGTAAGGAGTTCAAGGAAGCACAAGGCTTTGTCGGTTGGAGGGCTTTGTCTTGAAAAGGGGGTGAGGGGCTCTCTGCGTTCTTCTGAACGCAGCTTGCGCATGACTCCGCTTATAAAACGCAGGTTCATCCTTGGCCTCTCCTGCAAACCCTCGGAGGTCTAAGCCTAATACCTAGAAACTCGAAGAATCTAATCTTGACGTCCCTAAACACCCTGCAATCGCACCCCAGGAGAACTTATGGCTTATATAAGTTTAGGCTTTAGGGTTTAGGGAGATCACCCCGGAAGACATCCTCCCGAATCCTGAAAGCCCCTTCAACCTCCCTCGAGGTTCGCGCGTCCTCCATCTCGTCCTTCTCCACTGCCACGGTCACCGCCGTCTGGCTGAGCAATGGGGCCTGGACTTTCAAGTTCGGTCTTACTTATAGGGTTCTTCAGGGAGGAGGGTTTCAAGGGGGGCTAGGTACCGCAAAAACCTTCCCCCTCCCTTAAGAACCATAAGCAGGATTCGTAGGAGCTAGTGGGTGGCTTCTTGCACTTTGCGTCGCCCTCAGAAGAGTATAGGCATCGGTGTTCGCCTTCGTCGGCAAAATCGAAGGTGTTCCTTTTTTTGCAAATTTGCAGTCAGACCAGCAGAGCGTGTCATGTGCCCAAAATAGGGGTAGAAGGCCCTAACACCGCAAAAAATCAAAACACACACAGCAAAAGAAGAGCTGGTGAGCGCACGCCGCGGCGCCCCTTAGGTTCTAACCCTGGCCACCCTACTGATAGCCCTACTTCGAAGTATTCATGAAACTCTAAGTGGGCCTCAGATCACTTGCCTGCCTGGAGCCCTAAACCCCAAACCCTAAACCCTAAACCCCAAACCCCAAAACAACCTAAACCCTAAACCCCAAACCCCAAACCCTAAACCCTAAACCCCAAACCCTGAACCCTAAACCCTACACCCCGAACCCTAAACCCTAAATAAACCCTTGCCGCTCAACCAGCGCGCCTTGTTCTCCGGCTCCATTCGAGGCTTCTCTTGCTGGAACGCTTCACCCGGCCTGCCGGGGGGGGTACTTGAAGATTCATGGGTAGTAATATGTGGGGTATTATGGGTTTAGGGTTTAGGGTTTAGGGTTTAGGGCTACTTGGAGGTTCATGGGTAGGCAGAAGCGGGGTATTAGAAGCAGGGCACATGTAACAGCCTTGTTTAGGGTACTTCTAACCCCACTTATAACTACCCATGAGCCTTCAAGTAGTCGGGCGATTCGCCCGCTGCCGATCAACCACACAAGATGCCCACCTACACCCAAAACCCTAAAACCTTAACAACCCTACAAGAACCCTAAAAACCTGCAAAAAAAACACAAAAGCCCTAAAAAAAACCTAAAAGCCCTAAAACCCCAAAACCATTAAAAACCCTAAAAGCCCTGAAAGCCCTAAACCTCGTTCGGAGCTGATTAGCAAGGCCGGGACGACGCCCAGCAACCATAGTATCCATAGGGGCAGCCTTTTGTCGGGCTGGCTACTTGTAGAAAGGAACCTTGAACCACAGAAAGGGTAGAGGGGACCCTAAACCCTAAACCCTAAACCCTAAACCCTAAACCCTAAACCCTAAACCCTAAACCCTAAACCCTAAACCCTAAACCCTAAACCCTAAACCCCACTGGGCGACCAAGTTAACAAGGCCTGGACGAGGCCACCTGGGCTTCCATCGCCACCTTCAGCTTCCTCCTGGGCGGCGCGCGGCTCTTCGCACGGCGGCTCTGCTTGGGGTGTTTGGTCTCTTTGACAGCACTAAGGGCTTGGGGTTTGGGGTTTGGGGTTTAGGGTTTAGGGTTTGGGGTTTAGGGTTCAGGGTTTAGGGTTTAGGGTTTAGGGCTAGTCTGGCCGGGCTAGTCTGGCGACTTCTCAGAGGCCCAGGCATCCCGAACTCGGCGAGGAGCTCTCCGAGAAAAGGAAAAAACAGACCCACAAGTTTTCTGGGTTTAGGGTTTGGGGCTTGGGGAGTGCTGTTTAGGGTTTAGGGTTTAGGGTTTAGGGTTTAGGGTTTAGGGTTTACGGTTTAGGGTTTCGGGTTTCGGGTTTCGGGCTTAGGGCTTAGGGTTTATGGTTTGGGGTTTGGGGTTTAGGATTCAAGGCCCCAAGGACGAGTAACAAACCCTATTCATGTCAATGCTAAGATTTTGTCTGAGTAGTATAACCACCATGAAGTTCACGACAAGGCCGAAACTGACTCCTATACTACGAATTGCTTAAGAACCCCGAAAAACACAAATATTCTTCTTTATTAAGGGTCATATAGGGCTTATCATGTGTTATTCTATTGAGGTTCTTAAGCAAATAGCTAGGCTGCCCAGTAACCTAGGCTTAAAAAGGGTGCCCTTCTTTGCTTAAAGGGGGGGAACCTAAACCCCCCCAAAAAGGGAATTAGGGTACTACTGGGCATCCTAGGTAGTAGTATATTAACTCAACACACATATTCTTCTTTTTTGAGGGTCATACAGGGCTTATCATGTGTTATTCTTTTGGGGTTCTTAAGCAAATAGTAGTATATTCACTCAGGGGAAGCTCCGAGGCGCTTGTTCATGCCGTACAGCGGCAGCTCCCCGTTGAAGCCTCACACTGCGCAAGCCACGGGGCCTGCCTAAACCCTAAACCCTAAACCCTAAACCCTAAACCCTAAACCTGAACCCTGAACCAAAAAAACCGTAAACCCCAACACCCCCCCCCCCCCCCCCCCCCCCCCCCCTCCCCCCGCCCCGGCTTTCTTTTCCTGTTTTTGGCCTGTAAATCTTAAACCACTACTTGCTTAGGACAACCTGACAAAACAAAGAATACTAATCCCTACATTGCGCTTGCAAGGAAGAGTGTTTTTGGCGGGGGTGGCTCGGGGGTGGCTCGGGGGTGGCTCTTAAGCAAATAGCAGTAAAGGCTTTGGGATTTAGGCCTGAGAGCAGGTCACCATACTGCGGCTTCCTGCTGAATGCTAAACCTGCTCCAGGTCACGCGCAGCCCGAGTTTAACTCTAACAATTACGACAACGATCCTGATACTCCCATACACAATGACAGTACTGATGGCACTGCTGCTGACAAGTGCTTGACAGGATGCGAAAAAGAAGAAAAGTGTGGCAGGCGCAGTGACTTTGCATAGTTTCGTCCAGTCAACCCCCACGAGAGGGGGGGAGAGTGGGTGGTCGGGGGGGGGGGGGGGGGGGGACCAATTTCGATTATCTGGTCTTGGTGGGACGGGGTGTGTATGCACGCGGACCAATCTTCTGAGGCGCGAAGGTGCACAGTGACATTCCAAAACTGCCCCTTGACACTAGCCGCTGGTACCTTTCACTCTCCCGAACTAGGTACCGGAAATAAATGGCAGCAGAGACACCCCCGGAGGCACATGGGTCGTGATGCTGCTTTGCTTACTTTGCTGGTACGTCGTCCGTTAGATGCCATCGCTTCACTGTGACGCCGTCGGGAGGCTTCCACAGACACCTGCCTGGCAGCCGGCACGGTGCCCACCCCACTTGTTGTCAGACAAGAACGACCACGCAGAGTCACTGCGCCTGCCACACTTTCCCGCAGTTTCGCATCTTCTCACTCGCATGCATGTCATGCACCAGGGTGTTTCTTCTCTTGTTGTCGAACTCCTTGCAGCCCGCAGACGTGGGGTGGCAACTGGCGGCAATATCTGGAAGTGGAGAGATTTTACGCCTGGGGGAAACCCTCTAAGCAAAGCCCTCCAAGACCTCTAGGACCACATGTTTGGCTGGGGTCCTCTAGATGGGGTTTGATGGTTCTAGTCGTTGTCTGCATTTGACAGGGTGATGTGCATTTGACAGGGTGATGCGGCGGCATCGCGCGTGGGACTTCGTCGTTTTAAGGACTGGCTCACCCTTGCTTTCCCGAAAGCCATAAACCCCTGAAACCTAAACCCTGAATCCTGAACCCCTGAAACCTAAACCCTAAACCCTAAAACTGACACCCTGACCTGTAAACAATGAAGCCTAAAACCCTAAACCCTGAAACCTTGAAACCCTAAACCCTAAACCCTAGACCCGAAACCCTAAACCCTAAACCCTAAACCCTAAACCCTAAACCCTAAACCCGCCTCCATCCTGCAGTTGCCCAACCTCAACAAAGGCCGAGGCCACGAGCTTCCTGTCAAACTCATGCTGGGTTTAGGGTTTAGGGTTTAGGGTTTAGGGTTTAGGGTTTAGGGTTTAGGGTTTAGGGTTTAGGGTTTAGGGTTTAGGGTTTAGGGTTTAGGTTTAGGGTTTAGGGTTTAGGGCTAGGGTTTAGGGCTAGGGTTTAGGGCTGAAGGAGTTGAAGGTCAAATCGTTAAGGGCTTCAGGTTTAGCGTTTGGTTGCGTGTTGGGTCTAAGACTCGAACCGGCGTTCAAACCTCCCCCCCCCCGAGCTCAGCCTGGTGAATGACTGGTTGAGGGGGGAGGGGGCGGGGTTCTTGTGGTAAGGTATGAGTATATGAGTGATGAAGTAAGCTCGCTGAATCTATCACTCGTAAACATAAACCCAAGGACTTGGGCCGCTGTTTTTTGCTTTTCCGGGGGGGGGGGGGGGGGGGGGGGCGAGGGGCCTCGAAAAACGTTGGGGCCAGCTTGGCTTTGGGATGGTGGAGGTTGGGCTTCAGCTCAGGATTGCCTGAACCCTAAACCCTAAACCCTAAACCCTCAACCCTCAACCCTTTGACTTTTGTGTTACGCCGCTTTGCTGCTGCCTCCATTCAGGGCCCCGGCCCACACAAGTGTTTGGCGCAGAAGTCAAAACACATGACTCGGCATGATCCTGGCCCCTGATTTTGTCGGGGCTGTGACCCCCATCATGGCCTTGGTGGCTTGACAACGACATTGCCAGACTAAGCTGGGGAAATGCCGGGGACGGGGGGGGCGCATGAATTCAGGGTCGCCTGCCTTCCCGCAACGTAAAGGCCACATCCTATACAAGGGGGAGGAGGGCTAAACCCTAAACCCTAAACCCTAAACCCTACACCCTAAACCCTAAACCCTAAACTCTAAACCCTGCTGCAAAACCAAACATCAACCGAGCTACTTGCAGCTGGTCGAGGCACCCTCGAGACTGAAACAGCGACTGCTACGACCACTTCGAGAATGTGCACGCCCTACTGTTAGCTTCGCAGACACATCTCTTGCAAGTTGCAGATGTCTTCCCCTAAACCCTAAACCCTAAACCCTAAACCCTAAACCCTAAACCCTAAACCCTAAACCCTAAAAGCCATGAACCCGGGCCTGCTCTCACCGCTGTGATCGACGCCGCCCCCCCTGGCACCGAGAACCAGCAAAGGTGATTTCTAGGGCAAAGGCCCCACGGTTCGGGTTTAGGGTTTAGTTTAGGGTTTTGGGTTTTGGGTTTTGGGTTTAGGGTTTAGGGTTTAGGGTTTAGGGTTTTGGGTTTTGGGTTTTGGGTTTTGGGTTTTGGGTTAGGGTTTAGGATTTAGGGTTCAGAGCTTAGGGTTTATCATGGGGATCTGCAAGTAATCTGGGGGTTGGAGGAAGGCTCGAAGCCTGGTGAATGACAGAAGATCTTCTCAGAGGATCAGCGGCACACCAGATAGAGCCCTCCTCTAGCACCTAGTTTTCTGAAAGCCTCCGCAACAAGAACAACAACAGGAGCCAGCTACAATGAGCTACCGAACCCACCTGCTAGCGGCGCCAAACCCTTTCCCCCCTACGAACCCCCCAAATCCCCTGTGAACAAACGCCCATCCAAAGGCCTTCTTGGAGGTGCCTGTCTACTTTATTTCAGGGCCTTAATACACAGAACAGGGTCTTGGGGGGCGGTTTCTGGTAGAACTCTATGGGGACCATAAAGGAATACTACTCATACTTCTTCCGACCCGTCTATTAGCAGCTCTTCTGGCGACGAAGTGCATGCTCTGGCCTTCCCCGGGCCCCATCTCCCTAACTAGGGACCCTCCACTATTGCTGTCATAAGGCCACCGTCAAAGCGCGCGTGGCTGCGAACTCCCTCAGCTCCCTCAGCCCCAATTCTCGCCAGCACCGCCCTGACTCCGCAAGGTCCACAAGGCTCGCTTTGGAAGACAGGTGGGAATCGAGCCTGCAACTTTCTCCAGGCTGGCCCCTAAAAACTCTCTGAATAATATTCCGGAACATGGTCTCCTCAAACCCCATAAGGGAAGATGTAAAGATGTCTTAAAGGGCCTACCTAGCTCTGGATCTTGACCGAGTCACAGCGCACGGCTCATTGGGGAAATGCGAGCGAGTCTGAGCAAGAAGGTGCCCTGTAGTTAGCCCTCAACCCAAACCGACATGCAACGCCCACCCATAGAATACGAACTCTTGCGACTGTGAGCTTGGAGGGGGGGGGGGAGAAAGGGGGATCCCTGCGCTTCGCAGCGAAAGCTTCGCGAGCGCGCTAAGCTTGTCTGCTTCGATGCCCTCCAATGCAACCCACCTCAGTTTACAAGCTCAAGTAGCTCAAGGGTAGATCGCCAAGTGACGAAGAACTTGCATTGAGCCCCATACCCTGAGTCCTCTCAAACCGCGACCCGAACCCTCTCAAGGGAGGGCGGGGCGGAGGAGGAGCGGGGTGACGGGGGGGTGGGCGGGGGGGGAGGGGGGGAAGGGGGGGAAGGGGAGGGGTGAGTAACCCATGTGCTGTCCAGCAGATAGCATCAAAATACCAGGACCCTCAACACACTAAAGTCTCTGGAACTTCTCTCTCGTGCTGGACAATCCTCCCTAGAACTATTTGCTGGTACTAAATACTCCTCCCTAGAAGTTTTCGCGAGTACTGGGGCCCTCCTGCCTAGAACCTTCCTCTGGTGCTGAACACTCCCTGGATTCTTTGCTGGTTTTGAGAGCACTCCCTAAACCCTAAACCCAAAACCCAAAACCCTAAACCCTAAACCCGAAGAAAGACCCAACCCATGTGGGGGTTCTACGAAGAGTGGGGCTATCGTGGGAAATTACAGCACACGCTTCTCTCGCCATACCTCCCACAAACATGCCCCAAATCATGTACCCCAGAAGGGGTGCCTGAATCTTCGGAAACCTCATTGTGGGTCACTGGTTGGTTTGGGGGTTTCTTGGGTCGCATTCTTTCCAACGGCCTCTTCATCTGCACCTTGTAGACAGAGATGATGAGGACCTGGTGGGCTCCCCAAACCCCAAAACCCTCAACCCTAAACCCAAACCCTGAAGTCTGTAGGGCTTGGGGTTTATGGTTCAAGCTGAGGAGGGATTGGGGGGGTTGCCCTAAACCCCTAAACCCTAAACCCTAAACCCTAAACCCTAAACCCTAAACCCTAAACCCTAAACCCTAAACCCTAAACCCTAAACCCTAAACTTGCCCTTCTTGAGCTTCACGCCCCCGCCTGATTTGGATCAAGCTTGTAGTGCACAGGCGAGCGGTAGCTGCCCTTGTTCTCCTGCTCTTCGGGTTTGGGGTTTAGGGTTTAGGGTTTAGGGTTTAGGGTTTAGGGTTTAGGGTTTAGGGTTTAGGGCTTAGGGTTTAGGGCTTAGGGCTTAGGGCTTAGGGGTTTAGGGCTGCCCCTGAAACAAAGGGCCTTTCTGGACTACGCGATCTTACAGCGCCACTCAGCAAAGGGCGATGAAACTGGTATTCATGGGATGTATCCCCTTATGCTAACAGTCCCTTAGAATCCCTAGTAGGGACTGTCAGTAAGGGGGAACATCCCAATCCTACACCCTAAACACCAAACCCTAAACCCTAAACCCTGTTAGAGGTGGAAACGTCCTCGAGGGTGACCACCTCCTCGCGTCCCGCCACCTGCACCGTTTGGAGTAAGACCGCTTTGACACCCTGGGACCCTCTCCAAACCTGCTTTAGCATGCCTAAACCTTCAACCCCAAGCCCTAAACCCTAAACCCTAAACCCTGAACCCTAAGCCCTAAACCCTAAACCCTAAACCCCCTCAACACCAAAGCAGAATCTACTCAAAACGGCCCTTGCAGTGGCCCCTGGGGCTCAGTCGGGCGGGAGAGCTGCGTCACCAAGCCCAAAACCTAAAGAGCAAAGCCGGTAATCGCAATATGTCATTAACAATGGACTCAACATCAAATAAATAAATAAATAAATAAAGAAATATACATATATATATATACATATTTGTCTATAGCAGCTACTACGGAATAGACTCTATCTGATGTATAATACATAGTATATATATATATATATATATATATATAGAAATATGCAGAGTATAGATAGTGCCTGAAATCAGATATCCAGCATCTAATCAGTGAGGCCTCGCAAGTGACGGCCACGCGTGCCTCGGGAGCATTGTTGCACTTCCAGTAGTGTTTAGGGTTTAAGGTTTAGGGTTTAGGGTTCAGGGTTTAGGGTTTAGGGCTTAGGGCTTCGGGCTCAGGGTTGAAGGGCTGAGGGGTTTAGGGGATTGACCGGGTGGAAGATGAGTTCACAGGGTCTTAAATTCACGTTTGAGACCTTCGGTGGTAGGGTTTAGGGTTTTGATCTTAAGGTTTAGGGGTGTAGGGTTTTGGGTTTAGGGTGTAGCATCGGCCAGCTAGAGGCAATACTCTGGAGACATGCCCACCCCAAAACCACCCAATCACAACTCACAGCGAAACCAAGCCGGAGCCAGCCCAAACCAAGCCAGGTGTTCGACGTTCACATGTCGAACATGTTCAGGGGACACTTAGCTTATAGAACACTAGGAATGCTTCGGACATCTGCGATTCGAAGCTGTTGGCGAACCTTTTAGGGGGGGACAGTTTGGGTCACTTGGAGCACTGGGCGGCTTGGGAGCTCCAGCAGGCAGCAGCTTCCAAAGAGGGTTGCCACAGCCAACTTTGGAAGTTTTGGGTGGTTGGAGTCGTGGGCCACTTGGGGCCAGAAGGCAAAGGACACCAGCCGCTAGGTTTTTGAGGGGTGTCAGAAGGGTCTCCCTTGACTTCTGAGGTCAGTTAGGGCCAGAAAGCAAAGGAGCCCCTTCCCTCAGATTTTTCCGCGGGGTGGTACTGGCAGTCTTTGCAATCGTACTTGTCGCGGCGGTCTGGAAGGAGCGAGGCGTTCCTTGGAGCCAAAAAAAGGCGGACTGGAAAATGGACGTATGCTGGATCCCGCCGCCCCTAAACCCTAAACCCTAAACCCTAAGAGTGGAATGGCTGGGCCGTCGGCTCTCGGTGCGACTTCCACCCTTTTTGAACTCCTCGCGTCCTTGTCCGGGAGCTTGCTGGGAGTACTTCTGAGGCCGCCCAGGCAAACATTTTCCCAGCTAAACCAAGGCGTTTAGGGTTTAGGGTTTAGGGTTTAGGGTTTAGGGTTTAGGGTTTAGGGTTTAGGGTTTAGGGTTTAGGGTTTAGGGTTTAGGGTTTAGGGTTTAGGAACTTCCTTTCCCCTGAAGAGCCCCACCAACACATGAAGTGAGCAACTTGATGGCCACTGTACTGCGGGATTCTCTGCAAGATTTCTAGGCGTCTGCGCTGCGGATTCGCCGGGAACATTGGGATGGTCTGCCGGATTCTCTGCAGGATTTCGGGTTTAGGGTTTAGGGTGTAGGGTTTAGAGATTAGGGTTTAGGGTTTATATGGATCTGGCTTCTGGCGAGTAAGAGTAAGACCGTCCTGCAACATCGGGCTCTGCCTGCCGAGATTTCATGCAGATGGGCCATCCACAACAAAGCTCTGAAGTTTATTGAGCTGAAGGAGCGGTGGGCCCATCGGTTAGGGCCGTGATGGTTCCAACCCCTCCCACACGGTGCCCTAGACCCTAAACCCTAAACCCTAAACCCCAAACCCTGCACCTTAAACCCTAAACCCCTGTAGAAGCTGCCTCCGCAAGCCTCGGAGGCAGAAACCTCATATGCCGAAACCCGAAAGCGAACAAAACACAGAGACACACAAAGGGTTCTGAAGCATGGGCCTTGCGTTTTGTGGGGTGTAAGGGGTATGAGGGGTTCTCCAATCAAGGGCCCCCTTTTTAAGGAACCACACACACACACATACACCCACTGGCCCCTAAACCCTAAACCCTAAACCCTAAACCCTAAACCCTAAAGCCTAGAGCCTAAAGCCTAAACCCTTACCTTTCTCAACCCCACTCTGCCACAAAACCCCTCCTGAACCGCTGCTGCCAGGCCACTAGATCCAGACTCTTCACGCCCAGAAGCTGCTTGAGTGCAGCATCTGCTTGTGGAAGGGGGTTTTGTGGCTCAGGGTTTGGGGTTTGGGTGTAGGGTTTAGGGTTTAGGGTTTAGGGGCTAAGGTTTAGGGTTAGGGTTTAGGGTTTAGGCTGTAAGGTTTAGGGTATAAGGTTTCGGGGTTAAGGTTTAGGGTTTAGGGTTTAGGGTTTAGGGTTTAGGGTTTAGGGTTTAGGGTTTAGGGTTTAGGGTTTAGGGTTTAGGGTTTAGGGTTTAGGGTTTAGGGTTTAGGGTTTAGGGTTTAGGGTTTAGGGTTTAGGTTTGGGCTTTGTCTCGCTTCAGTTTCCTCATGACACAGGTCACGATTGAGGAAAAAACTCTCGAGCAAAAAAAGCCTCGCAACTTCTGAAAAATCCCTGGACACTAAACCCTAAACCTCAAAAGCAGAGGCAAAGAACGCTTGAAAAGAGTGGATGAAAACCCCCTCAACATGCAAAAAGCCCTTCCACACACCTACATTTGTTAAGGACTTGATTTGAGGACAACGACACATCTCCATCAAAACCCACCCACGCACGCACTCACCCACCCACCCACTAGGTTTAGGGTCTAGGGTTCATGGTTCAGGGTTTTGGGTTCAGGGCTACAAGAGCACGGCGGACCTGTCAGGGAGATATTCTCCAGCCGAACCTGCGCCAATGTGAGGGGGTTTGCTGCCAGTGGGGTCTGAGGCGAAAGGCTCGACAGGCAGAACTCCTACCATCAACTTTCTCGACAGGCGGTTGAGTTTGTACAGGGCCCGTCTTGAGATGACTCCGACTCCCGCACACTCTGAATATGAAGCGCCTGATGCTGCTGCTGGAGCCCTAAGAATGCTCTCTAGTTCCTTTCTTTCGTAAACCCCCAGTTCTACCTCTGGCTTAGGGGGGTTTAGGCGGGTCGCCTCCTAAACCTAAACCCTAAACCCTAAACCCCAAACCCTAAACCCTAAACCCAAAAAAAACCTCGATCGGGCTCGGGTGAGGACGTAGGGAACGCACGACCGGAATGCCCCGAAGCTCCTCGTAAGGCCTTGGCGATCCTCGACAGAATAGGTGGCGCTGTGTTCTGATGGCTCAAGAAGGGTCTGAGAAGCTTAGGGTTTAGGGTTTAGGGTTTAGGGGTTAGGGTTTAGGGTTTAGGGTTTAAGGTTTAAAGGTTTAGGGTTTAGGGTTTAGGGTTTAGGGTTTAGGGTTTAGGGTTTAGGGTTTAGGGTTTAGGGTTTAGGGTTTAGGGTTTAGGGTTTAGGGTTTAGGGTAAACCCTTTAAAAACCCTAAACCCTAAACCCCTCAACCCTAACAGAGTTTCGGCAGACCACCCCCCCCCCCCTGAGTGAGCAACACGAGCACCCAGCTGCCTCCCGGCGCGAGTCCGACTCGGATTGCCATTTGCCGACGGCCTCTGAAGGGGGCGCCCCGCTAGACTCCAAAAGGTTTTGGGGTTTGGGGTTTGGGGTTTAGGGTTTAGGGTTTAGGGTTCAGGGTTCAGGGTTTAGGGTTTAGGGTTTAGGGTTTAGGGTTTAGGGTTTAGGGTTTAGGGTTTAGGGTTTGGGTTAGGGTTTGGGTTTCTGGCTCGTGGAGGTTCCGGAACCTGAATGGTCTGGGAAACGAAGTCGGCCGAACAACATGTGCTAAACCCTAAACCCTAAACCCTAAACCTCTCCTACCATATAATTATAAACCTTAATGGTACTCGTGGGCAAGGCCCAAAAATTCGTGGGCAAGGCCCAAAGATTCGTGGGCAAGGCCCAAATATTCGTGGGCAAGGCCCAAAATCCGGATTTTGGGCCTTGCCCACGAATTTTTGGGCCTTGCCCACGAATATTTGGGCCTTGCCCACGAATTTGTGGGCCTGTTGGTTCGTGGGCAAGGCCCAAATATTCGTGGGCAAGGCCCAAATATTCGTGGGCAAGGCCCAAATATTCGTGGGCAAGGCCCAAATATTCGTGGGCAAGGCCCAAGTATTCGTGGGCAAGGCCCAAATATTCGTGGGCAAGGCCCAAGTATTCGTGGGCAAGGCCCAAAATTCGTGGGCAAGGCCCAAGGCCCACAATGCCCTTGAGACCCTAAACCGTTGAGCCCCTAAACGCTTGAGACCCTAAACCCACATTTCGGGTTTCAGGGCCTCAAGGCCTGTCTCAGGGCCTCAAGGGTGGCCCCAAGGCATGGCGTTTAGGTTCAAGGCCTCAGGGCCTGTGTTTAGGGTTTCAGGGTCTCAGGGCCTGTGTTTAGGGTTCAGGGCCCAGCGTTTAGGGTTTCAAGGCTTCAGGGCCTGTGTCAGGGCCTCAGGGCCTGTGTTTAGGGTTTCACGGCCCAGCGTTTAGGGTTTCAAGGCCTCAGGGCCTGTGTTTAGGGTTTCAGGGCCTCAGGGCCTGTGTTTAGGGTTCAGGGCCCAGCGTTTAGGGTTTCAAGGCTTCAGGGCCTGTGTTTAGGGTTTCAGGGCCTCAGGGCCTGTGTTTAGGGTTTCAGGGCCCAGCGTTTAGGGTTTCAAGGCCTCAGGGCCTGTGATTAGGGTTTCAAGGCCTCAGGGCCTGTGTTTAGGGTTTCACGGCCCAGCGTTTAGGGTTTCAAGGCCTCAGGGCCTGTGTTTAGGGTTTCAGGGTCTCAGGGCCTGTGTTTAGGGTTCAGGGCCCAGCGTTTAGGGTTTCAAGGCTTCAGGGCCTGTGTTTAGGGTTTCAGGGCCTCAGGGCCTGTGTTTAGGGTTTCACGGCCCAGCGTTTAGGGTTTCAAGGCCTCAGGGCCTGTGTTTAGGGTTTCAGGGTCTCAGGGCCTGTGTTTAGGGTTCAGGGCCCAGCGTTTAGGGTTTCAAGGCTTCAGGGCCTGTGTTTACGGTTTCAGGGCCTCAGGGCCTGTGTTTAGGTTTTCAGTGCCCAGCCTTTAGGTTTTCAAGGCCTCAGGGCCTGTGATTAGGGTTTCAAGGCCTCAGGGCCTGTGTTTAGGGTTTCACGGCCCAGCGTTTAGGGTTTCAAGGGCCTGTGTTTAGGGTTTCAGGGTCTCAGGGCCTGTGATTAGGGTTCAGGGCCCAGTGTTTAGGGTTTCAAGGCTTCAGGGCCTGTGTTTAGGGTTTCAGGGCCTCAGGGCCTGTGTTTAGGGTTTCAGGGCCCAGCGTTTAGGGTTTCAAGGCTTCAGGGCCTGATTAAGGTTTCAAGGCCTCAGGGCTTGTGTTTAGGGTTTCACGGCCCAGCGTTTAGGGTTTCAAGGTCTCAGGGCCTGTGTTTAGGGTTTCAGGGCCTCAGGGCCTGTGTTTAGGGTTTCACGGCCCAGCGTTTAGGGTTTCAAGGTCTCAGGGCCTGTGTTTAGGGTTTCAGGGCCTCAGGGCCTGTGTTTAGGGTTTCAGGGCCCAGCGTTTAGGGTTTCAAGGCTTCAGGGCCTGTGTTTAGGGTTTCAGGGCCTCAGGGCCTGTGTTTAGGGTTTCAGGGCCCAGCATTTAGGGTTTCAAGGTTTCAGGGCCTGTGATTAGGGCTTCAAGGCCTCAGAGCCTGTGTTTAGGGTTTCACGGGGGGTCGTATGTTTGGATTTTAAAGGCAAAATAGTCTTTGGAGACCCTCCTTGCCTCAAACTCCGACCCCCCTTGAGAGGGAAAGTTTGCCTCAAAAAACACCCCAAAAGGGGACCTCAGGCTTGGCCTAGACCCGCAATGAAAATGCGAACTTTTAGTACTGAAATCGAGGGTTCTGGATGGCCTCTCGTTTTCTGGATTTTTGTGTTTTTCAAGTTTTTCAAGACTTTTCCGCGACCTTTTTGACAATGATTTTGGTCAGGGGGGGTCATTTTTCGATTTTAAAGGCAAAATAATCTTCGGAGACCCCCCTTGCCTCGAACTCCGACCACCCCATGAGGGAAAATTTGCTTCCAAAAACACCCCAAAGGACCCCAGGCTTTTGTTTTCCTTCTTTTTTTCAGGGTTTTTCATTTTTTTAAAATTGTTTTTCAAGGTTTTCGGGGTGTTTAGGATTTCAGGGCCTCAAGGCCTGGTGAATGCCTATATTTAGGGTTTCAAGGCGGTTCAGGGCTTCAAGGCCTAGTGTTTAGGGTGTCAAGACCTCAAGGCCGTATTCAAGGCTTCAGGGCCTCAAGGCCTGGTGTTTAGGGCTTCAGGGCCTCAAGGCCGGGCGTTTAGGGCCTCAAGGCTTGGCGTTTAGGGTTTCAGGGCCTCAAGGCCTAATATTGAGGGTTCAAGGCCGAACGTTTAGGGTTTCAAAGCCTGAAGGCCTGGTGTTTAGGGCTTCAGGACCTCAGTTTAGGGTTTCAAGACCTCAAAGCCTCGTGTGGTTTAGTATCTCCACCTCCTCGTTTGTTAAGTGGAAGTCATTCATTTTGTTATTGAACCATCCTAATAAAAAGAAGAAACTTTTTATTTCTTAATGTTATGGGAACTTCGGGTGGGTGGGTATTTTTCGATGTTCTAAACACAGAGCCTAAACGAGAAAGTGCTCGACCAAAAGCTCTTGAACCCTAAACCCTAAACCCTAAACCCTAAACCCTAAACCCTAAACCCTAAACCCTAAACCCCAAACCCCAAACCCTAAACCCTAAACCCTAAACCCTAAACCCTAAACCCGAATCCCAGACGACCATCCCCAAGCCTGAGAACAGTAGCGCCGATACTGCCGGCACTGCAGCCACACGTACATCATCGAGGCCTCTTGGACGGACTTCAGAAGTGTGGAGGGGTTTAAGGGTTGCCCTAAGCCCTAAACCCTAAACCCTAAACCCTAAACCCTAAACCCTAGACCCTAAACCCTAAACCCTAAACCCTAACCCTAAGACCCTAAACGGGTTTAGTGCGGGGAGAGGAAAGCCCCGGAGTGGAAGTTCAAGCACGTCGCTTCGGGGTATCCTTCGAAGTGGCCACTTAGGACTGCTGGAACCTTTGGCTTCTTGGCAGGATGCTGGGGGTTTAAGGTTTAGGGTTTAGGGTTCGGGGTTCGGGGTTTAGGGTTTAGGGTTTAGGGTTTAGGGTTTAGGGCTTCGGGTTTAGGGTTTAGGGATTAAGGTTTAGGGTTTAGGCGGGGTTTTCGGGCCCAGGGTCCGAGAACTCTTTGAGACTCTCTTGCGAGCGCAGCACTGCTGTGAACCTCTAATATAGGGGTTTGGGGTTTAGGGTTTAGGGTTTAGGGTTTAGGGTTTAGGGTTTAGGGTTTTGGGGGTTGTTGTAATATGATTATAATGGGGCCATAAGGGACATCTATTTGCAAATCATTCCGACCCCTGTATCCTGCACAAGTTCTCCGGCCCATGGAAAGCCACACCCTGAAAATACCCAACCCCAAAGACACCAAGCAATGCATGTATGATGCAACCCTGAGTCCCTAAACCCTAAACCCCTAAACTCCTAAACCCCTAAACCCCTCAACCAAACCGAATCCTCAATCCTCAAGCCCACGAACATGGATGCTTGTGAGAACGGTGAATTTGTTTCGAGGTCCCAGCGATGAGGAGAGGTGACCTGGGTGCAGAGACGCTCAGGGGGCGCTTGGAGGCCAAGTGGCTTTAGGGTTTAGGATTTAGGGTTTCGGGTTTAGGGTTTAGGGTTTGGGGATTAGGGTTCAGGGTATAGGGTTGAGGGTTTTCGCCCTTTCGGCCCCTTAGGAGTTCAGGAGCAGCCGGCCCGAAATTCCGAGAGGAGGAGACCGCCAGACGCAACAGGCATGAGAGCTTCGAGGAGTTGGCCTCGGGCCTGGACATAGGCATCCCAAGACGACTTGGCTCCCGAATTTTACGCTTCAACCGCAGGCAAGGACCACCGAAATTCTGCTACTGCCCGGAAGCCAACGAAACCCATGTAAGCCGTCCTGAAACTCAGCATGCAAGGTAGGCTTTGCCTCTTCGGTAGGGATTCTCCCCCTCCAGGGTCTCTTGTCAAATTTGGTCCCTCCCTCCAAACAGGACCCTTAAAGCCCGAGCCCCCTACATGGTTTGTTTCTTCGACCTTTTTGGGGCGGCGTTGCCCCTTTAGGAAGGCTCTCTCAACATGAGCGCAGCAACCTTAGCCCAGGCACAAGGGACCCCTGTACATACCAACAGAGAAGGGAGGCTCGAGAGCACCCCCGTTTTCACCCAAATACCCCTAAACCCTAAACCCTAATTCCTAAACCCTAAACCCTAAACCCTAGATGAGGGGCCCATGAGCTTGTGACAATGGCAGCCCAAGGGCAGGAAGGTGGCCTGCAACACATTCGTCAAGGACGATATGAACCACCTCAGATTCCCCCACTTTCGCGAGGGTGGGGGACAGGGCGTATACCTGAAGAGCCCCAAAGCCTATCTCTTTCTGTGGGCTGTTACTTCTAGGACTTCCTAGGTAAGCTACGAAAACCGTAGAGGCTTGTGGTTCTTGAGGACGGGCTTGTAGGTTCATGAACCATGGGCCTCTAGACGTGAGGGAATCTCGGATTCAAGAGGCGAAGGGTGCTTTGCAAGCCGATTCAAGGGATCTTCAGGACTCAGGGCCCCACTTGGAGGTTCATGGTACTTACTGAATAGGAACTGCACTTATAACTCAACTATCACCATATCAGGGCACTTAGGGGGCTTATGAGTGGGCTATAAGGGCTATAAGTACAGTTCTAATTGGTTAATAAGTACCATGAACCTCCAAGCAAGATTTCAGTGCCCCGTATGTTGCGGGACTCCTTCGGTGATTCGAGTTACATGCGGCTTCGACTCTGTGCCGTTGGTGGTGTGTCACATGCCAGGACGCTCAGGATGAAACCCTCCTGAATCCAGACTATGAGACTCCTGAGCTCTGAGCTTGAAGCTGTGTACACACACAACACACACCCTGGAACCCTCAAACAATGATCGCTATCATTATTATCATGATTGCCGTGTTATGATTGTTATGGTGAGCATGGCTTACTACTGAAGAATACACGAGAGCGCACACCAGAGCGGCAAACCCTCGCCTACGCAGCGCCCTGAATCTCGTCCCGAGCGGCTTCTCGCTGTCTGACGGACTCACACTGGCGATGAAGATGCAGACCTTTCTGGCTTAGGGCTTAGGGCGCGGGAGTCAGGATTTGTCTGGTACGAGTAGTAGCAGTACCACTACCACGACCACGACCGGGACATTTCGCATCGGCTTCTAGCCGAAAAACATCTAGAACCGGCAGACGAGGATCTCGCTTTTCCCCCCTTCCCGGCTCGCATGTTTCAAAGTGGTCCTCTTCACAGCATGTGCTTTGCAGGGGCGCCACTTTTAAATTTTTCGGCCCAGCAGAAGAAAAACAGAAACACAACAAACGTGTTCGGCACGCGACTGGCCGAGCAGAAAAAGAAAAAACAAATTGAGCTGGCCGAGAAAAAACAGACACGCGTTCCACAAGGCAAGGCCGCCCCAGGCCCTAAACTTTGCACTAATCTTGGGATGTTCCCCCCCTTATACTAACGGTCCTTAATAGGGATTATAAAATGGGGTACTCTAATCCCTATTAGGTACTGTTAGCGCAAGGGGGAACACCCCAACCTTAAACCCTAAACTTGCAAGCACTCAACCCTGAATTCCTTGGATCACTGCTCTGGGATCACTCCTCCTCGCAAGGAGCTTTGAACCCCGAAATCCTCGCTTCAATGACGATGTGGTGCCCCCTGCAGGTGGTAGATGCTGGTTTAGAGCGGTAGGTCGCACAGGATTCGCTCGTGTGGGCTCACAGGAGGGATTCGGAGGGATCCCTAAACCCTAAACCCCAAACCCCAAGCCCTAAACCCTAAAACCCTCCATTCTGCGCACCCCAGAAGAGTCAGAGCATGTGACAAAGCTCAATGGGGTGCCGGCCACCATCAGGCACAGGACGAAGTAGGCGATGAGGAAAGTCCTCTGGAGCTTTCAAGCTTCAAAGAAAAGGGCTTAGGGTTCAGGGTTCAGGGTTTGGGGTTTAGGGTTTAGGGAGTATGTAACCCAAGGTTCCCTAATGCTCCCCACTACTCCCTAAGTACCTAAGCTTTCCTAAACTTCCCTACCCCCCATGGACCCCCCTCACTACGAGGGCCCCTTAAGAAAACGTCCATCTCTGAACGAACTGCAGGGAGGGCACTGGCATTTGTTGGGGTCATTCCTGCAGATTCCAAGCAGAACTACAGCCGCACAGTTGTCATTGGAAGGAAAAAAAGAAAAAGCATGTTGTTTACGAGGGCATCCTCATCCGAGCCAACAGCGGAGACCAGTTTCCGAGTGCACCCTAATCCGTGCATGCATGGACCATGGACCCACCAGTGCACCCAGAGTTCAGGGATACCCCTTTTGAAGGCTCCTATGAAAGTAACCATGTTGTTCCCCACCGTTGGGGCTTCTTTTTTGTCATGAGCCCGTGCCTATGCCCAGAGAAGCCTGCAGAGAATCGTGCCGGGGAGCCTGCAGAGTCCCGCCGACTATCCCTGCAGGTCCCACCCCAGGAAATCCCGCCTAGTATCCCTGGAGTGCCTGTCAGGGAAAATCTGCAGAAAATGCTGCTGAGGATCCCAGAGAAGAACCTGCACACCCTGAAACAACCTTAACAGCGAATTCTGGCGAGAGAGCCCTCTCCTCTCTCCCCTCTTCCCTCTCCCCTCTCACCTCTCGCCTCTTCCTGGTTTTGGGCTTTACTAGGCTTCACGGTTGTGTTGCGCTTTTGCTGTGCTTCGGGATCTTCCAGGCCCTCTCCTGCAGCCAGGTCTCTGTCTTCACCAGGCTGGTTTTCAGGGTTGTGCCGTAAACCCGGAACCGAAGGTTCACCACACGGAAGCCATTCTTCAGAGAGCCGCCCCCGAACATCCCAGGAGTGCCAGGCCCGGAGAAGCCCGCAAAGAATCCCGCCGAGTGGCTCGAGCCCTTGCATCCTCGGAGTACCTCCAGACGGAGCCTCTACGAGTCCCGCCGAGTATCCCTGGAGCGCTCAACCTCGGAGGATTTCGCGGAGAGCGACACTACCCTGCCGAGAAAGGCAGGGGTGGCCTCCCCTAAACCCTAAACCCTAAACCCTAAACCCTAAACCTCCCACAGCAGGTAGCTGCACGGTGGGGATGACAAGGCGTCCCCGATTTTTGAAGAGAATCCCCATGTGGTTGGCGCGCGCGCGCGCAATCCATGGCTGGAAGTGCGGCCATTCCTGTAGATGCTGAGCTACATTGGCAAGAAATGAATGCTCTTCTGTCTTCTGTGCCGCTGCCAGCGGGTCCAGAAGAAGACCATGCGGATGCGAACAGGAATGATGAAAACCTTCTGCACAATGGCGATCCTGGGATGCGGAGAGAGAACTGTTCTGGCGAAATCAGGGTTTAGGGTGTAATTAGGGTTTAAGGTTTAAATGGTCTATTAGGGTTTAGGGTTTATGGTAGACACAACAACCGCAAGACAACAGCCCCCGAAAGCGACATCACAAAACCCGTGCCAAAGCCCTCCACATGCCCTAGCAGTGTTCACCCATAGCCTACAATGAGGCCTCTCCAACTTTTTGAAGGAAACTGCCCCGCTCCCCTCCCCCCCGAGCTTTCAAGTAACCAAGCCCCTCCCACCCAATGAACTTTTCAAGGGGGAGGAGTGGCTCCCCCGCTTTTAATACAATTGAGAGAATTAAGAAGACAGAGCTAGAAGAAGAACGAATAGAATAATCTACGATAATAATGTTGTAGCGATATAGTAAAGGCCACAAATGGAGCAGCAGTGCACCGACAAAGGCGCTGCACTCCAAATTCAGGGAGGGTGGGTTGAGTCATGCGTGCGCCGAGATCTTCGGAGCTCAGCTGCTTTAAGACTTGGATGCTCTCCATCGCGACAGCTGGGGAAGGACGTGCCTTCTGCCTGGACGTCCCTTGTGGCCCAGGCCCAGACAAACCAAGCGTGCTAGCGGCCAGCATGCCCGGATTGCGCGTATGTAAGGATAAGGATATGAGGGGCCATGATCTTGCCCAGTCCGGTCACCTGGTGCACAAACGATCCTTGAATGACACTGCTGCAACGCTACACATCATATTCAACGAACCCTTGAGCCGGTGTGGCGCAAGAGCAAATCTGGCCCCTGGATGGCTTAAGAGAGCCCTCTGAACCCTCTGCTTAGCTTTGGAGTAGACCCTGGAAAAAAAGTTTATACTTTTTAGGTTCAAGTAGCTATTATAGGAACCCAGAACCAAAAAAAGGTATTAAAGTGTAGTACTCCAAAACCCAGTCTAAGACCCGCCGGAGCACAGCGCTGCCAGGGGCATCGCGCCCACCAAAGTCGTGATCCAAGCGATAACCACAGAGCGGACGATCTGGCGCTCGGTTCTTCTCCGGGTCTTTTTGGGGGGGACCTCGGGACGGCTAGCTGTGAACCACTTCTGTTCAAGTCGGCTGCAGGCCTCTCAGCTTAGAGATGTGCAGCAAAGGCTTGAAGTGCCTTTTGGGGGGCTGGCGAGGGTTCAGCTCAAGCCGAATCCGGACCTGCGCAACAACGTGCGGAGGGCTTTAGCACCCCAGACTCGCTACAAGGCGCAGATGCCCCCCGAAAGCGCGTGACTCCGGAAGCCTGAAATGCTGATCGCAACTCTACGCTGCGCCCCCGCGCCTTCTCGACCAGACCCTCTTTGGGCTCGCAGTCTGCGCGGCGTGCAGAGTGCTTGCAGAGTGCTTGCAGAGTGCTTGCAGAGTGCTTGCAGAGTGCTTGCAGAGTGCTTGCAGAATGAAACAACCACCCATGAAGATGACCCTCCCGTCATCTTCTTTGCATGTGCATTGGCCTCAGCAGGGGCCAACCTCGGAAACCACTTCCTCCCCAGCCCTGAGCCCAAACAAGAGACTCCTGCGCTCGAATGTTTATGAACTTAGTTGCTGAGTTCATAAGCCCCCAAAAACAAGTGTGCGCTTTCAGTTCTACAGGGGATTCAGCTGCTAGGTGGATGATCTACATTCCGGTGTCCCTCTGTTTTTTAGCTCCTTGAACTACAAGGGGGGATGAACGCTAAGAAGGACCACTCAAGCCTCAAAACCCCCAAACCCCCCAAGGGTCCCAGCGGGATCAACCCCACATACTTGCTCAACCCCTAAACCCTAAACCCTAAACCCTAAACCCTTAACCCTAAACCCTACACCTACAGAACGCTTGGAGGGGATGGGGGCAGGTGAGGGTTTTGGGCGCCCTAGGATTTGGGGCCTCCGGACTGCCACCCACTCAGGGATCATGCTGGCGACCCTCGTTTTTCTGGGATGTTCCCCCTTCTACCAACCGTCCTGAATAGGGATTCTTGTAAGGGGTTCCTGAATCCCTATTCAGGGCTCTTAGTATAAGGGGAACAGGGATGTTCTCCCTTCTACTAACAGTCCTTAATAGGGATTAGAGTAAGGGGTACTAGAATCCCGATGAAGAACTCTTGGTATAAGGGGGAACATCCCAGCTCGTTTCCCGAACCCTAGGAATGATGAGATGTCTCTGAACCCTGTAGGGTTTAGGGTTTAGGGTTTAGGGTTTAGGGTTTAGGGTTTAGGGTTTAGGGTTTAGGGTTTAGGGTTTAGGGTTTAGGGTTTAGGGTTTAGGGTTTAGGGTTTAGGGTTTAGGGTTTAGGGTTTAGGGTTCACCCTGAACCCTAACCTCCGCATGCTCCGGACCTGGCTGGTCAGGGGCCAGAGATGTCGCACCGTAGAAGGTCGCAGAGACGGCCCAACCTCTCCGTGTACTTAGGGTAGGGTTTAGGGTTTAGGGTTTAGGGTTCAGTTTAGTGCTTGGAGTTTACCAGTAGTCTTCCCTGAAGACCCACAACAAACAGAAGAAACTACACTACGTTCCCCCTTGCAGAAGACATGCAATACAGGGGCCGGAACAACTACTCATCGTATTCCCTTAGGGTCCCTTTCTCATACATCGACAATTCCCCCCCACCCCCCCCCCCCCCAAAAAAAAAAAAAAAACAACTACTCGAATTATTCAGGCCCCGAAAGTACTTGGTAGCCCAGTAACCATATTATGATAAGGGCACCCCTTTTTGGGTTGGCTACTTTACAAGGGAACCCAGAAACCAAAAAAATAAAGTAAAGGGTACCACTGGGCTACCAAGATTGGGATTTCCAAAATGGGGGGGGGGGGGGGCACAGCCCTCCTTCCATGCGCGCCTGAGTAAACCCGCGCCATGACCACCGCGGTGCGCTGCAAGCCTGGCTTCGGGCTCTTTGGGGCCTGGGGTTTAGGGTTTAGGGTTTAGGGTTTAGGGTTTAGGTTTAGGGTTTAGGGTTTAGGGTTTAGGGTTTAGGGTTTATGGTTTAGGGTGGCATGCTACGCATACCATCGAATGCCTCTGGATGCCTCAAAAATGCCCAGAAAAAGTCGTGGATGCGGCCGAGAAGCTGGTGGAAGTCATGCGGGGATCGAGGACGCGGAGGAACTGGCAGTTAATGCGATACCTCTTCCGGCGTGTTCTGCGTCCAGGGTTTTTTTCTGGTGTAGGGTGGCGGTTACCGCGACCTCCAATAGGGCACCCCCAAAGCACGGACAAAGCTCCTGAGAGTTGAAACCCCCAAAATCCAACAGGTGTGACTCCTACTTGGAGGTTCATGGTACTTATTAACCAATTATAACTGTACTTATAACTGTACTTATAACCATATTTGGGCACTTAAGGGGCGTGTAGCTGGGTTATGAAGAAGTACCATGAACCTCCAAGTACGACATCCTCCTCAACGCCTGATCCGCTCTCTGAAACCTCAGTCCACGAAGTGGTATAAACCCTAAACCCTAAACCCTAAACCCTGGGGGCACAGGAGAAACAGCTTGGACAGGCAACCCATCCTTGGAAAGGTGGGGTTTGGCGCCGGGGGTTGGGAAAGTCAGAGGGCTTGGGGTTTGGGGTTTAGGGTTTAGGGTTTAGGGTTTCGGGTTTCGGGTTTCGGGTTTAGGGTTTGGGGCTTAGGGCTTAGGGCTTAGGGCTTAGGGCTTAGGGTTTAGGGTTTGGGGTTTGGGGTTTAGGGTTGTTCCTTGCAGCCCAAGAGGTCTTTGGGGGTGCTCCCGGAGTGCCTCGAAATGACCTGGAGGCCTGGAAAACACTGCGGGTTGGTTCGCCAAAAAGCCATATGAAGCAGGGTGTATACTCACCAATATTAAAAATATTAAAAAAGGAACCTTATATACACTCACCAAAAGCAGTAATATAAACCCTGCTTCATATCAGTTCTCTCACGGCACAGAAGGGCTGCATGCAAAAGACTTCCAGAAACTGATGGAGTTACCTCTTTCACCCCCCCTCTTCCCGCCCCGGACCCGAACGCTGAGCTTTAAACCCGACATACATGCTTGGAAAGGAAACCCAATCCTAGCCCCTAAACCCTAAACCCTAAACCCTGCACCCTAAACCCTACACCCTAAACCCTCAACCCTAAACCCTCAACCCTAAACCCTAAGCCCTAAACCCAAACACCTTGGCCATGATCTTCTACATCCTGGCCCGGCATCCGCTCGAACGATTTCAGCGTGAGCTTGGCGAGGTCGTGGGTAACCTAAGCAGGCAGAGCTAGCGCGACCATTTGCTTGGCTAGCTATTTTTTAAATTTTTAGCTGCCTTACTAGGAAACCCCATAAACCCAAGAAGGTTAAGGATCTAAAGTTACAGTAAAGCACCACAAAGATTTGCTTAAGAACCCCGACAAAACACAAATGAGAGTCCCTATGTTGCCCTTATAAGGAGGAGTATTGTATCTGTTTGGGGGAGGTTCTTAAGCAACGACTACTAGTAACAGCCACTGCAGGACTTCAGGAGATTGAGAGTTTCCCTGGTTAGGGTGTAGGGCTTAGGGGTTTAGGGCTTGGGATTTTTAAGGTTTAGGCTTAGGTTAAAGGGCTTAGGGCTTAGGGCGCAGGATGTGAGAGTCGATGGTTTCCTGTCGGGACCCCTCAGCCAAACAGAAGATGGTGCTGACACGAAACCAACAATCAAAAGAGTGTTCAGCACATCGCCAAAAGTTTTGTGGCGGCATGAAACTTTTTTGCCCGTATCTCGAATAGCGATCTGCTTTCGCAGGAAAGCCCATGCAGTTAAACGGTCACGCTTTGGAGTAGCCCCGTTCCGATGGCACTCAGGCGCGTGGGAGCTCTGCGCTTTCCGACCAATCTTGGAGCTTCATATGACCCGCATTGATGCACAGAATACAAGCTTGGCCAGCAAAACACGGCCAGCTTAAACTGTGTTTCTTTCACACCCACTGCTTCCCCCGGCTCTCAAACAATCCTTTTTTCCATCCTAGGCTCGCCATGGACAGAAGCCCTGTCCTTAAGCCTTGACCTTTCAACTGTCGGCGCGCCGAACTAGCGGAGAGCCCTTGCTGGGAACCACAAAGGGCAAGAATGAGGTCAGATGTGGTCATGCCATGTCGGAATCACCAATGCCTCCTGGTGCATCACTTGCGCGTCCTCGAAACGCACCTTCCTCCAGCTCGTCGCTGAATTCAGCTAAGCACCCGAAGCGATGATCTCCTTCTGGCGAGCTGCTTCTTGGCATCTGCCTGGGAAGCTGGAAGTGCTAGGGAGTCGAGCATGGCCCATCTCACTCCCGTCCAACGAGCTCGAGCTCAACACGTCAGGGGATGCCTTCGGCGTGCTCATCGCGTGCTCTTATCTCAGCCAGGCCAGAAGTTGGCAGGCGATGGAAGGAATCAGCAGCTCGCCATTTGAACTTACGGAAGTCCCTGCACGCAGGGCCAAGAACTCGTGTGAAAGCACCCCAAGATTTAGGCGCAGGAGCAACACAAGGCACTCGCACACAGGTCCATACTCCAGCATGGTAGAGAAGTGATGGCTCGAAGAGCCTTCCTGGCACCACCCATGCCGATGGTTACAATTACCAAGATCGCACCACCACATGGGCCTCACCCAGGCGCAGGAGACCCCTGCAACTGCAACGCAGAACCGAACAAACGGCTAGTAGCGCACTGCCCTATGAAGCCCTGTAGTCCAAGCACCCTGATATTCGTGAAGCCTCCCCCAAGCTCGCCCTTCGAAAAAACTCACCCGAGCTCCCTTCCAACACCCCTACGGTCACAAAGGTCCCTAAACCGCCAAAACCCTGACCCCTTCAGCCGCACCCCCCCCTTCGACCTAGCGGCTGTTCTTCCCCCGAGTCGGTGTACCCGGTCCAGCTGATCGAGGCTGACCCCTGCGCGAAGGCTCAAAGCTGAAGCTGAAGGGGGCTTAGGGCCTAGGGCTTAGGGCTTAGGGTTTAGGGTTGAGGGTTGAGGGTTGAGGGTTGAGGGTTGAGGGTTGAGGGTTGAGGGTTGAAGGTTGAGGGTTGAGGGTTGAGGGTTGAGGGTTGAGGGTTGAAGGTTCATGGGTACTTCTAAGGGGGGTTATAAGTACCCTTAAATAAGGATCTAACCACAGTCACCTTACTTCAAACCCTACTTACAAAGCACCCATGAACCTCCAAGTCAGGTAGAGGGTAGAGGGTAGAGGGCTTCGGGAGGACAGCGCAGGACGGTGCAGGATTTGGCGCTGGGATCTGGGAGTGCTCAGAGGCTCGGGGGTGTTTCGGGAAGACGCTGACGAGTGAGCCAGCGCCGAGCTGCTGAAACTCCGAAGCTCCAAGTCTCGAGGCCCCTAAGATTCAGGACTTCAAGCCCTAAAGACTGTGTTTGCCCCCTTAACTGGCTGTTTCTTAATATGTAATGAGGGAATGGGGTACCCTATGTCATCCCTTAAAGGGTATGTATATACATATATACATAGGGCTTTAATTCCCTCATTCCCTACTGAGAACCAGGGGTTAACTACCAGCACAAATCCAGCTTCGGCTGCCTGTTTTGTGGCGCACGACGACGGACGAGATGGATCTGGTCAGGTTGAGATTAAGCCTCGCAAGGAGGTTCTTGGGGGGCTTTGGGGTTTAGGGTTCAGGGTTTAGGGTTTAGGGTTGAGGGTTGAGGGTTTAGGGTTTAGGGTTCGGGTTCAGGGTTCAGGGTCCCAAACCTGAATCCAAACCCTAAATGGCACTAAGAGAGGTGAGGACTTTGAACCGAAGACGATAGGTTCCTCCAGGAACATTGACCTCAAGGAGGCTGTCCAACAGCCCTTCAGCACAACTGCCATACACCAGGAGAAAACCTAGACCCTAAACCCTAAACCCTAAACCCTCAACCCCTGAGACCCTAAACCCTAAACCCTGAACCCTGAAACCCTAAACCCTAAACCCTAAACCCTACTCAAGGGGTTCAACTCCAGAGCCCAATTGTCCCTTGCCGTTTCCCTGCGTTAAGTCTGATGCACTGGGCTTGGGCAGCGGGGCGTGCGTTTCCACCCTCAAAGCCCCCCAAACCCTTAAGAGTTTTAGGGTTTAGGGTTTATTTGGGGTTTAGGGTTTAGGGTTTAGGGTTTAGGGTTTATTTGGGGTTTAGGGTTTAGGGTTTAGGGTTTAGGGTTGGGTTTAGGGTTTAGGGTTTAGGGTTTAGGGTTTAGGGTTTAGGGTTTAGGGTTTAGGGTTTAGGGTTTAGGGTTTAGGGTTTAGGGTGTAGTCCCTTAGAATGGGCATGTAGCCTATATCAGTTAAAAACACCCTAAATCCTAAACGCTATACCCTTATACACCCCAGCCCAAAGGGCCCACTTCAGAACTCTTTAAGGAACGTAAGGGGTCATTCTAAGGGGACCCCTTGTAACTACCCTTGGAAATAGCAGAAACCCTAAACCCTAAACCCTAAGCCCTACTCAAGGCTTCTCTGAGCGTGGGGCATCCCGGTGCAATTCTGTTTCAAGTCCTTGGCTGCAGCTTCGGGTTGCAAGGGCTCAGGGTCTGCGACGGAGGGTCGGGGTCGGCAGCTTGGAACTAGATCAACACGGAAGTCTGGTTTAGGGTTTAGAGTTTCGGGTTTAGGGTTTAGGGTTCAGGGTTTAGGGCTTAGGGCTTAGGATTTAGTGGTTAGGGTTTCGGGTTTAGGGCTTAAGGTTAAGGCTCAGGGTTTTTCTTGGAGCTTGATCATTGCTAGGGATTGTGGGATTGCCGGCAGAAAGTCCAGCGCCATACCGGGTGAATATTTGGTTTCACCGTGCGTTGGACTGTTGCTTGGCAAGTAAGCCCTAAACCCTAGATCCTTTGATATACCAGTTTGGTAATTCAGGTGCCTTGGGGCCACGCAGCCTTCCCAAGACCAGCGGAGACGTAGCTATCGTAAAGGGGCGTCCCTATGGGTTTACATGATGTTTGAAGCTGTTTCGCTCATACTGAAGAGCTATCGTCTTGAGTGATATATGGGAGCTGAGGACAAATGCCTGCTCCCAAAACCTATATTTCCCTGATAACCATCAAAGAGCCCGTCAACAACTCAGCAGCAGGACCTTTAGATCAAACCCCCTTTGGTTGTGCTTCTCTTGAGCATGGCCCCCTCTCTTTCATTTTTTTTTGGGGGGGGGACCATACTTGGAGGTTCATGGGTAGCCATTAGCAGGGATATAAGTAGCCTAAGTTAGGTTACAACCAGTCATAACTACAGTTACCCTACTTATCACCCCACTTGTAAGTACCCATCAACCTTCAAATAGCCCTCAACCCTAAACCCTAAACCCTAAACCCCAAACCCCAAACCCTAAACCCTACACCCATCTGTCCCTCAGTGGAAGATGAAGCCAGGTGGCCTCGACAACGCCATGGTTCTCTTTCTCCCGATGCCCGCGGCAAAGCGCGCCTCAAAGCATACACATGGGTATCAGGGTTTAAGGCTTGGGGTTTATGGTCGGTTTAGGGTTTAGGGTTTGGGGTTTGGGGTTTTGGGTTTGGGGTTTAGGGTTTAGGGTTTAGGGTTTAGGGTTTAGGGTTTAGGGGCGTAGGGCTTAGGGCTTCGGGCTTAGGGTTTAGGGTTTAGGGTTTAGGGTTTAGGGCTTAGGGCTTAGGGTTTAGGGTTTAGGGTTTAGGGTTTAGGGTTTAGGGTTTAGGGTTTAGGGTTTAGGGTTTAGGGTTTAGGGTTTAGGTTAGGGTTTAGGGTTTAGGGTTTAGGGTTTAGGGTTTAGGGTTTAGGGTTTAGGGTTTAGGGTTTAGGGTTTAGGGTTTAGGGTTTAGGGTTTAGGGGCGCAGCGGCTCCACTATGTCTACTTGGAACTTGTAGCATGTGCCGTCTATGCTTTCAAATTCTACATTACATGATACGTATTGGGCAATCCCCAGTTTCCCAACTCTTCGTTCGCTTTGGTGATTTCGGGACAGCTTGATAAGCACCTTCTGTTTCTGTTCATCAGCATAAGCCAGCCGCTACAAAACGGCAACGTCCTTGCGCAAACCTGTTTTGTCATAGTCTTTTGAACCGTCTTTCGTCCGCATTGTAGCAAGCTCAGCGGTGATGCAGCAGATGCCACGCCCTCAAAAGTAGTTTGCAGCGCTTAACTTCAGCTCCAGGGTCAAAAACGAGTGGCTGGGGGCTTGCTTTGCTGCCACGGCACAGGCATCGACGGTTCTTTGCCTCGGAAGACAGGTTGATACTACAGGGGTCGGAATAACTACTAAGAACGTTCCCTTGTGGTCCCTTTATATTTATTTCTTTAGTAACCCCCCAAAACCCTATTCTAATTCTTCAGGCTCCTACAGTATAGACTGTTTCCGACTGTCTGTCTGGCTTCTGTGCCGAAGTCTTGCGGGCTCCTGTGCAGTCTGGGGGGCGGAGTGCCTTGGAGCATCTTCACAGGGTGCCACACCTCTAAGGCGTCAGACGCACGTCACTACGCCAGGGAGCATGCCTAGGTCCCTGAACGGTTTATGCAACAGCTGCGCCCCAACTCGCTTGCAAAACGCGGGGGGACGGGGGGAAGGGGGGGGGAGGGGGGCTTTTGCGTGGCGGGGGGCAACTTTTGGAGGCGCTGCTGCTCTTGGCGGTCGCGTTTCCTTGCGATGGCCAGGAGGACGATGCCGACGGTGATCATGGTCTGAGCAGCGGGGCCAGGCAGCTTGTGAGCCCTGTTCTGGCGGTTTCGCCCCGGGGAGCCCTCAACCCTAAACCCTAAACCCTAAACCCTAAACCCTAAACCCTAAACCCTAAACCCTAAAGGCAACTGCCCCGAAACGGCATCCTAGGAGCACTTCTCTGAAAGGGTTCATGGCCAGACCCACAGCACCCCAAGCCTGTCGAAGCGCTCCCAAACCGTACAAAAAACCTCCAGCCATTAACCCCTTTATAGCCCTTGTATACCTAAGCAGCCCCCTCAATAACCCCCAACAGAACCTCTTAAGGTCCCTAGTACGGGTCCCTCCTCCAGTCCCTTGAAACCAGCAAAGCCCTCCCCTCCTAACCCTAAACCCTAAACCCTAAACCCTAAACCCTAAACCCTAAACCCTAAACCCTAAACCCTAAACCCCCCAACTCCCCCGGGGCTGGCCCAGTTCAGGATCGAAGGCAGCTGCGTCATCCACGTCACAGTCAGGAGCGACTGGAGCCCCTGTGCTTTCAAAGGCTTTAGGGTTTAGGGTTTAGGGTTCAGGGTTTCGGGTTTAGGGTTTAGGGTTTAGGGTTTAGGGCTTAGGGTTTAGGGTTTAGGGTTTAGGGTTTAGGGTTTAGGGTTTAGGGTTTAGGGTTTAGGGTTTAGGGTTTAGGGTTTAGGGTTTAGGGTTTAGGGTTTAGGGTTTAGGGTTTAGGGTTTAGGGCCGATGATTTGGAGCACTAAGGCAAGGGAAGCATACCGGCGTTCCTTCGTACATTGCTCATCGTTGCTCGGCTTATCGCGGCTTATTTCGGAGTCGGATGCAGGCTTCAAACCCTAATCCCTAAACCCTAAACCCTAAACCCTAAACCCTAAACCCTAAACCCTAAACTGCAGGGCTTCACCATCCGGATCGGTCCTAAACCCTAAACCTTGAACCCTAGCGGTGTGGCACGCCCCCAACCTTTCTGGGTTACAAGGATTCATTTAAAGCAAGGCGGGCTTGGGATGAAAGCGGCGGCTTGTACACGCAAGGTAAGCTCCCGCAATGAAAGTTTCGAAAAAGGGAAGACCCTCTCTTGCTTACAAGAAGAAAGCCCTGATACGAGGGAATCCTACGATTACGAACAAGAGAAGCTCTTTGCTAGATTATGAAGAATGAGAATGGTCAGTTCGGTCCCTATTTTGCGGATGAACGCAAACGAGACCTCATCGTTCTGGTTCAAAAAGAGTTTCCCCAATTTGCGAGCAGAAGAGCAATGGCTTCTTCATGAACTCTTGTTACGACAACGCCAGGCTCTTGTTTTTGCCTGTCTCATCTCGAAAAGGAGATTATCTGCCCTGTCCTCTGATGGGTCGGTCTTGCAGGTCTCTCTCAGCATCTCTTGTTTCTTGTTGAGATTGAATGCGCTCTCCTTGTGGATTTCCGAAGCACCTGTTTCTCATGCAGTGTGAATGTGAAAATGATGCTCAAACACGGTATTGAAATTACCGATTCCAAGCACACAAAGCCCTAAGCCCTTCACCCTAAGGGAGCCTCCAACGAGAAGATCGCGGCCGCGTTGGAGCAGACGAGCGTTGAGATAATCGTGTTGATGATGATGGCAAAGAGGGACAGGTGCCTTTGTCGAAAGACGAATCCCAGGCCCTAAGCCCTCAGGCTTTCAGACGTGGCTAGAGATTCCGCTGGGATGCACAGAGATCAGGAGTGGGGCATAGAGTGAAGAAGGAGCGCTACCAGTGCACAATTGAGGCTTGAAGTGGCTGAGTTGGGTCGAAGCTTGGCAACTTGGGGGACTTTCACAGGATTGCGGGCGTTCAGGCCGTTAAGTATGGCAGCCTAGGGACGTTTGAGCTTGCGGTCTTTGCATCTCAGGGCTGTCGTGCACTTCCGCTTAGGCTGCGGAGCTTAGAGGCAAAAGGGCTTCTGAGACCTTCCTACATCCGTGCCGGGGTTTAGGGTTTAGGGTTTAGGGTTTAGGGTTTAGGGTTTAGGGTTTAGGGTTTAGGGTTTAGGGTTTAGGGTTTAGGGTTTAGGGTTTAGGGTTTAGGGTTTAGGGTTTAGGGTTTAGGTTTCGAAGAGACCAAGCTTGAGCCCAGCAGGCGTGGTGGCGCAGGCGATGCTGCCATCCTTGCACTGGGCCACAAGTTGGACGTAGTTGGGAGTAGTTGGGGGGGGGGGGGGGGGGGATTTCGGGGGGGCGCTAAACCCTAAACCCTAAACCCTAGACCCTAAACCCTAAACCTTAGGGCGCAACTCAGAGTGCAGGAGGTGAGAGTCGAATGAGTCTGGGCTTGGCCTCTCCGCCGCTTTCTCAAGCAACACACAGAGTTCGGTACTGGTTTAGGGTTTAGGGTTTAGGGTTTAGGGTTTAGGGTTTAGGGTTTAGGGTTTAGGGTTTTTAGGGTTTAGGGTTTAGGGTTTAGGGTTTAGGGTTTAGGGTTTAGGGTTTAGGGTTTAGGGTTTAGGGTTTAGGGTTTAGGGTTTAGGGTTTAGGGTTTAGGGTTGTGGGTGCTTCTGGGTCCGGAAAGACAGCCCGTTGCTGCGTTGAGGGCTTGCACGTACAACTTTCAGAACAACCTCACCAAGCTCCTGCCGGTGAAAGCCTTAAGAACCGCAGAGATGAGAATCTCCCTGCACAGGAATGGAACCTCACCCCCCCGCCCAAACAAACAGCGCAACACCACCTACCTAAACCCTGAACCCTGAACCCTGAACTCTAAACCATGAAACCTAAACCCTAAACCCTAAACCCTCAACCCTAAAGGCCCTGAACCAACAAAGCGCAAAGGCGTTAGTAGTGGTCCTCCCCCCCCGCGAGCGTGCTGACGCCTCGGGATGACCACTCCTCGAGGTCCTGGTTTTGGGAACTGGGCCCCGTGCCTTCTTTAGGGTTTAGGGTTTAGGGTTTAGGGTTTAGGGTTTAGGGTTTAGGGTTTAGGGTTTAGGGTTTAGGGTTTAGGGTTTAGGGTTTAGGGTTTAGGGTTTAAGGTTTAGGGTTTAGGGTTTAGGGTTTAGGGTTTAGGGTTTAGGGTTTAGGGTTTAGGGTTTAGGGTTTAGGGTTTAGGGTTTAGGGTTTAGGGTTTAGGGTCTAGGCTTATACTAACAGTCCTTCATAGGGATGATAATACCCCCCTGTCATAGTCCCTATTCCGTACCGTTAGCGATAGGGTTCACTTGCACCCTGCTTGGAGGTTTGTGGGTACTTACAGTAGAAGTCTAATTTACTTAGAGTTTGGGGACTTATTCGTGCAGCTATACTTGGGGCTATAAACCCTAAACCCTAAACCCTAGACCTAATTGGGGTTGCAAGGACCCATGAACCTCCAAGTGCACACTGTGGCAAGGTAGATCTGGAGACTCCGTTTGGGTACAGAACTTCGGGGTGCGAGGTTGGGCCAGACCTGAAAGGAACCTAGGAATCAAAAGGGTGCCCCTTTTTTGGTTTCAAGGGGCTCAATACGGGAACCTCAACCCTAAAAAAAGGGAATAAGGGCCTTCACTTGCAGAGTGTTAGTCCTAACCCTAAACCCTAAACCCTAAACCCTACACCCTAAAGGTTGGGCTGTCCGGGCTACATTGGGCTGTCTGTGGGGCGTGGGGGAGCGCTTGTCAGGCTGTCTGCGGGCTTGCTTGGGAGTATCTATCGCATCTCATGCAGAAATCTACAAATGTAAGTATGTCTATATCTGCAAAACAGAAGATGAAATAAAATAATAATAATAATATATATATATATACAGATATATATATATATTTATTTATATTTCTTTATGTACATCTGCATTTATATTTATATATATATATATATATATATATACTGCATAATTAACTCAAGTACATGTAAGGGTTGGGGCGTTTAGGATGCATTTACACTTGAAAAACCTGTGGCCATCCTTGGTTAGGATTAGTCCTTGTATTCTTCCTAACTTACACTTCCTAATAATATGTCTCGGTTTTCGCTTTCTTTTTGTACATTTCTTACATGTCAAGCTGCGTGTCTAGATACCTTCACAACCCGTCACCAAGAGCGAAAGGAAGCCCGCCGGCGCCTCGTCCCAGAACATGCATGCCTTTGCGTCAGAAGCGGGCTTGTGCTGGGTTTCGGAAGTTTCGGCTACGAGACTTGGCAGATCTTAGCGCAACATCGCTGTAAGGCACGGAGAGTTCGGGTTTAGGGTTTAGGGTTTAGGGTTTAGGGTTTAGGGTTTAGGGTTTAGGGTTTAGGGTTTAGGGTTTAGGGTTTAGGGTTTAGGGTTTAGGGTTTAGGGTTTAGGGTTTAGGGTTTAGGGTTTAGGGTTTAGGGTTTAGGGTTTAGGGTTTAGGGTTTAGGGTTTAGGGTTTAGGGTTTAGGGTTTAGGGTTTAGGGTTTAGGGTTTAGGGTTTAGGGTTTAGGGTTTAGGGTTTAGGGTTTAGGGTCTGGGGAGCGAAGAGAGTAACCTAAGCCCATGCACTGAACCCGCAAGCGCTGACATCTTGCCTCAGGAAGCAGCCCCTTGCGAAGAAACACCTCTCAGCCCCAATACTGCTTCCACGTGTGCCACTGTTGCTTTCACACTTCTATGTGTAAATGTATATACTTATACATGCATATATATATATATATGTGTATACATAAATATATACATATACATAAATACAGAAACATATGTATGTACATATATATGTATATGCGTGTGTATGCGTCTCATGAGGACGACACCACTTCTACTTCTGAGGGCGGCGCGCAAACAGATAAGACCTAGCATTGCCAATAGTGCTAGGTGCAGCCAGCAGTTGGTCAGCTACTCCCAGCAAACACGAAGACGTCACAAACGAGCCATCGCTTGGCTGCATACAATGTGTGTACGCATATACATATATGCATATGTGTAAATATGTATATATATATATATATATGTATACTATGTATGTGTGTGAGTGTTTGTGTGTTTTTGTGTGAGTGTATGTTTGTGTGTTTGTTTGTGTGTGTGTGTGTTTTGTGTGTGTGTGTGTTTTTGTCTGTCTGTGTGTGTGTGTGTGTGTGTGTTTTGTCTGTGTCTGTGGGTGTGTTTTGTCTGTGTGTTTTGTGTGTGTGTGTGTGTGTTTTGAGTGTGTGTGTGTGTGTGTGTCTTTGTGCGTGTGTGTGTGTGTGTGGGTGGGTGGGTGGGTGGGTGGGTGGGTGGGTGGGTGGGTGTGGTGTGTGTGTGTGTGTGCGTGCGTGCGTGGTGCGTGTGTGCGTGTGCGTGTGTGCTTGTGTGCTTGTGTGCTTGTGTGCTTGTGTGCTTGTGTGGTTGTGAACTTGCGTGCTTGCGTGCTTGCGTGCTTGCGTGCTTGCGTGCTTGCGTGCTTGCGTGCTTGCGTGCTTGCGTGCTTGCGTGCTTGCGTGCTTGCGTGCTTGCGTGCTTGCGTGCTTGTGTGCTTGTGTGCTTGTGTGCTTGTGTGCTTGTGTGCTTGTGTGCTTGTGTGTTGGTTTGCGTTTCCTCTTGCGAGCGGTAAGGAAAGCACAAGCGCAGATGAGTAGAAGCGCACGTGACGGCCACAGGAGCTGGCACGAAGCCAGAAACACACATCAACAAAAAACACTCATCAGGGCAACAGGATGCACATCAAAACAACAGGAACACATGAAAACAGAAGTACATGAAACCAGAAGCACAGGCAGCAGGAAGACAGATCATGAAAGCAAAGGGCACATGAAGGCAACGGGAATGCAAAGGAACAACATATGAAGGCAACAGGACAAAGGAACACAAACGCCTGAAAAGACACAGGAACAACCACGGAGGCTACAGAAACACACAGAAACATAGAGGAAGCCATCATGACACACAGGAAGACATAAAGAATCGCATGCCACATGTCCCACGCAAATCCCAAACTGGCCCTGAGCTCAAGCCCCCGCCTCTCTAGGCCTCTCTAAACGCACATAGCCATGCCCCCAGAGACTCCAATCTCCCTTAATTAAGGATTATACCTTAAATCACATTAGGGATCCTATTATAACTTAAGGTATATTCCTTAATCAAGGGATAGTGAAGTCTCTGGGCCCACTAGCTACGTCGAAGACGTTCCGCATGCGCTGTCGAGGCCTGCCCCTGCCAGGCCCCTCCGGAAATCTTGGCATCAGAGCCAAGGCTCAAGCAACCCGCATACCCCAAACTTCCTAAACCCTAAACCCTAAACCCCTAAACCCCTACACCCCTAAACCCCTAAAAACCCTAAACCCTAAACCCTAAACCCTAAACCCTAAACCCTAAACCCTAAACCCGAGCCCTTTCCACCCGGAAATCCTTGAACCCGAGTGGCGCACCATGAGTGTCAGGCGTGCAACCCCTGAGCCCCCTGAGCCCTAAACCCTAAACCCTAAACCCTAAACCCTAAACCCTAAACCCTAAACATCCCTAAACCCCTAAACCTCTAACCCCCCAAACCCTGGGCCCCAGTTGAGACCCCAGAGGAGTGCACTCTTCCTCCTGGTTGCGGCGCCGGGGTCGTCGCTTGCATTCCCGGCTGTGAGGTTAAACCTGGGCTCGGCGAGAGAAAGGATTCGGAGGGCTTAGGGCTTTGTGGCCTTGAGCGGTTTAGGGTTTATGGTTTAGGGTTTAGGGTTTAGGGTTTAGCGTTTAATTTAGGGTTGGGGGCTGAGGATTTAGGGTTTAGCGGCAGGGCATTTCACGGCCTAGCTCTGGTTGTGAGCACTTCGCAGGCGAGAAGCCGGGGTGGCCCCCAAGGCCCAGATAGGAGTCCTAAACCCAAAACCTTAAACCCTAAATCGAAAACTTTGTGGCTTTCTGTGGTCATCTTCGCGCTCTTCAGGGTGATGAGGCCGAGGTTTTCTAGGATCTTCTTAGTCGCTGAGTCCAGAAGCCCCCAAGAAATGTACACTTTCAGTTCTATTTAGGGGATTCTCGTATCCCAAAAAGTGTAACGCGTACCCACCCAGCTACTAGGTCTTGGGGCGATTATGGGCGATTCCTAGTTCTCAAGTTGGGGTGCAGGACCTGGGGCTTCCCGTGCCAGGCGTCTTCAGCGGCGCAGGCAGCTCTCCCTTGATGGGGTCGCCGTTCGCGTCCCAGAGGTCGATCTTCCTTTCCGCGGCAGTCTTCGCGAGAAGCCAGGACCACCCCTAAACCCCAAACCCTAAACCCTAAACCCTAAACCTAAACCCTAAATCCTAAACCCTCCTAAATGGGGCAGCCTTGGGGGTGTCCTAGAGTCCGAGAGGTGCGCCCAGGGCTCTGAAGTAGGAAGCTTGGGGTGTCAAGGATCCGGCTGACTTGGGGCACCAAAGAACTCGCCGGGCTTGAGGTTTGGAAGTTGGGCGCAGGGCTCGGCCCCTTTTGGGCCTTTTGTTTTTTTTTTTTTTTTTTGGGGGGGGGGGGGGGGGGGTTCTCTCTTTCTTGACATCTGGGTTGCTTCTGCAAGGTACCGCAATCACAGCCCTAAACCCTAAACCCTAAACCCTCAACCCTAAACCCTAAACCCTAAACCCTAAACCCGAGGTGTTGCCGCACTGCCTTTGGGGCCCAGGTGCAGGGGAGGCGAGGCCAAGACCAAGCCGGTGCCATTCAGGGAGTCGTTGACCAGGCTGTAGACCTGGGCAGACCAGACCCTAAACCCTAAACCCTAACCCCTAACCCCTAAACCCTAAACCCTAAACCCTAAACCCTAAACCCTAAACCCTAAACAAACCCTAAACCCTAAACCCTAAACTCTAAACCTGCTCAGAAACGGAGGAGGAGAAGGCGAAAGGTTCGAGCATCTACTACTTGTATGATTGTTCTTCTTATTCTTATTAGCTCAGAAACTGGGAGCAAAGGACAAGGCGAAAGATTCGAGTATCTAGAAATTGTCCGATTGTTCTTCTTACTATTCTTCTTATTCTTATTATGATTCTTATTCTTTTTCTTTTTCTTATTCCTATCTTGTTCTTGTTATTATATGGCCACTTCTGTGAGTCATGGTCCCTTTTTGGGCACCCCAAGGGAAGAGGGGCCGCCTTATAATAAGGACCCGCAGAGGGGGCATACGTTCGAGAAGTGACCATGTGGTGCTTGCTGTAAAGCCCTAAACCCTAAACCCTAAACCCTAAACCCTAAACGGGAAGAAGGGACCTGCCTCCTATGGGGAGCAAAGAAGGTTGCGTCCAAAGCCATGCAGGGGGCCATGTGCCTTAAAGTCATTCTCAGTTCTCACAACAACGGCACACCCTTACCTCCACAAACCTCAAGCGTCCCAGAGAGGGCGCTTAAACACCCAACTGAGAAGAACCCCAAGCCCTGAACCCCGAGGCTATACTTCCCCCCAGGGTCTCCCAAAATCGCTGAGCTCAAGGCATCGCCACCCTCGCCCAGGGTGGCCAGGGAGGCAGATCCGGCGGAGAGGTCGCCCTGCGGGGCTCTTTCCGAGGACTTTTTTGGGGGAAATAAGCCAACAGCAAATGCAACCCCTGGGGGCTATGAAGAGAGCCCTTTGCCATTCTGAAGCACGGAAGGCTGCAACAAAGGCTCTGAGGGTACTGTTTTCGAGTGCGCACCCTCGCGCATAAGGCTGTTCCAGCTCTTCGACGGTTTTGCTGACCGCTTCAGGGACTGGGATGCTCTGTGCCTAGATTGCCTCGAGGCCCTCACAGGGGTTGGTGCAGGGAGATCTTGCCAGGGCTTGAGGAGAATCTTTGCTTTTGCGCGCGAGCCGCGGTTGCCAGCAGCAAAGAGGAAACTAGCGATTTTGGAGGTTCCAGGCTGGAAGAACTCATAGCTTCTGAAAGGGGTAAGCCTAGCAAGGGCTATAGAAGGACAACATATCAAGGGGATACTGTATGAGGGCAAACTGCCCACTTGAAACTGCCCTAAACGTAGGGCTCAGGTCGGGGGTCCCAGTGCCCTTTTGTAGGCAAACCCCTTCCGTCCAAGTAACGGGGATGGCCACGCTCGCCGTTTCCAGCTCGAGAACGACATCCTCGGTGACATCCTGCCCAAGACGCCGCAGACGGGGTCGCGAGGGGAGCTCCCAGGTTCGGAGGAGGGTTCAGGGGAAGTTGACTCTACATACTCTACATACTGAACCTCAAACCCTAAACCCTAAACCCTAAACCCTGAACCCTAAACCCTAAACCCTAAATCCCCATAGATGCTCGGTCTTTGGTGCAACTTTCCGAAACCCGGCGTCCTCCGTGCGGATGGCAGCTGCCAGGAGCTCGCTCCCATCGTACTCCTGTTTAGGGTTTAGGGTTTAGGGTTTAGGGTTTAGGGTTTAGGGTTTAGGGTTTAGGGTTTGGGGTTTAGGGTTTAGGGTTCAGGGCTTAGGGTTTAGGGCTTAGGGTTTAAGGTTTAGGGTTTGGGGTTTGGGGTTTCGGGTTCTTTTGGGGAGCTCACACGCTGTGCTCCGGTCACCTTACACCGCTGGCGAACCCCTGCTACTGCGCTACATCTGCTGCAACAGAAACAGATACCAATATTTGTATATATATATATACATATATATATATATATAGTTTCTATATTTCTTTACTCATTCATATATTGTATATTTATGTCTCTTATTACTACTATTCATAATACTTGTGTTTTTGTATGCATTCGACAAAGATTTATCTATGTTTCTAGGATTCCCTCGGAGCCCTTTCCACTTCCCCTGGCTCGGCTCCAGCCTTCAGACTGACCGCCGTGACCACCTGTGCTTGGGAGGCCTTCTGGGGTGCAAGGGTTTAGGGTTTAGGGTTTAGGGTTTGGGGTTTAGGGTTTAGGGGTTTAGGGTTTAGGGTTTAGGGTTTAGGGTTTAGGGTTTAGGGTTTAGGGTTTAGGGTTTAGGGTTTAGGGTTTCGAGTTTCGCGTTTGGGGTTTAGGGTTCAGGGTTCAGGGTTCAGGGTTCAGGGTTCAGGGTTCAGGGTTCAGGGTTCAGGGCATCAAAACTGTTGAGGCAAGGGCGCTCGAAAGGCCATCCAGAAAGCCCAACTGAAAAACCTGCGCGACCTGAACCGACAAACCCCCCCCCCCCTCTCGCCCAAATCCCCCTCCAAAACAAACCTTTGGGATCCGCTGCCTGCCGATACTTCTTCATGGCAACATTTAAAGGACTCTGTTTTCGCGCTCGACCCGAAACAACTTGCCTTAAGCCCAAACACTTGGAGCCCAAAAGCAGCTCCCACTGTGAGCGGACTAATGGCCGGGGGGGGGGTTTGTTTGTGAGCAGTCGGGCCTCCTAAACCCTAAACCCTAAGCCCTGAGCCACTCAGGGCGGAAAGCTTGCCGAAGCATTTTGGGGAGCTACCCTGGTACTTTTAAGTTCCAGCCCGGAGTCATGTCTCGAAGAACTCTGAAATCTAAACCCCAGTAGTAGTAGTAGTAGTAGTAGTAGTAGTAGTAGTAGTAGTCGTCGTCGTCGTCGTCGTCGTCGTCGTCGTCGTCGTCGTCGTCGTCGGAGTAGGAGTAGGAGTAGGAGGAGTAGTAGTAGTAGTAGTAGTAGTAGTAGTAGTAGTAGTAGTAGCAGTAGCAGCAGCAGCATTAGTACACCCTAAACCCTAAACCATATACCCTAAGCCCTAAATCTTTCTGCCGAAGCGAAGACCATGAAGAATGAAATCAAGCAGCACGCAGAAAAAAAAAGTCAGCGGCCCAAAACCAGGCGTTAACGAAATTGAGCATCTGGGCATTTCCCCAAGTCGGGGTACCCTTGATATACCCCCAAAGAGTATAATCTTTATATTTTAGGAACCCCCAAAACCCTAATAAACCCTGCATCCTAACCCCGAAATCCTAACCCCTAAGCCCTCAACCCTAAGCCCGAAAAAAAAAAAAAAAAAAAACATCTTTGACACCGACCACACGGAGATTCGCCTGCGAAGAATTCTTGGCCTCCTCGAGTGCGCGCTCCATCACGAGAGCCTGCTCGCACAAGCTCTCGTCATTGAAAAAGGGGTTTAGGGTTTAGGGCTTAGGGTTTAGGGTTTAGGGTTTAGGGTTTAGGGTTTAGGGTTTAGGGTTTAGGGTTTAGGGTTTAGGGTTTAGGGTTAGGTTTAGGGTTTAGGGTTTAGGGTTTAGGGTTTAGGGTTTAGGGTTTAGGGTTTAGGGTTTAGGGTTTAGGGTTTAGGGTTTAGGGTTTAGGGTTTAGGGAGTGAGGGAAAATCTGAGAACATTCCGGGCTGTTGAATCCCAAACTCTTGTGGGCTTTGCAGGGTGTGGACAGAGTCCAGGAGCCCTGTAGACCTTTTTCCCTTCCCTCAAAAGACCATCTCGTTGCGACTTGGAGGTTCATGGTACTTCGTAACCCAAGTATAGCTGTACTTATAACCCCAACTATAACCCTACTCGGGTACTTAAGGGGCTTATACATGGGCTAGAACTACACTTCTAATGCGTTGCTCTGGCTGGTTCTTAGAGGGAATGAGGGAATGAGGGCCCTACATCATCCCTTAAAGGGTATTTACAGGGCCCTCATTCCCTCATTCCCTACTAAGAACAACCCTAAACCCTAAACCCTAAACCCTAAACCCTAAACCCCAAGTAAACCCTATGACTACCCTGAAGCCAGCTGCCTGGCTTGCTTCGAAGACCAGAAACGCCTCCGTGACATTGGTGCCTGGACCGCTGAAGGGAGGCGCTCGCTTGCTTATAGGGTTCTTGGGGTTTAGGGTTTAGGGTTTAGGGTTTAGGGTTTAGGGTTTAGGGTTTAGGGTTTAGGTTTTAGGGTTTAGGGTTTAGGGTTTAGGGTTTAGGGTTTAGGGTTTAGGGTTTAGGGTTTAGGGTTTAGGGTTTAGGGACCCATCCTTTCCCGGGTCAGGTGAGGAAAAGGGCACCATCTCAGCGCACTGGTCTGCAGGGACCGTTGGGATTCAGGCGCCAGCATTTTGGGTTTGGGAGGGTTTAGGGTTTAGGGTTTAGGGTTTAGGGTTTAGGGTTTAGGGTTTAGGGTTTAGGGTTTAGGGTTTAGGGTTTAGGGTTTAGGGTTTAGGGTTTAGGGTTTAGGGTTTAGGGTTTAGGGTTTAGGGTTTAGGGTTTAGGTTAGGGTTTAGGGTTTAGGGTTTAGGGTTTAGGGTTTAGGGTTTAGGGTTTAGGGTTTAGGGTTTAGGGTTTAGGGTTTAGGGTTTAGGGTTTGGGTTCAAAGGCTCAAGGGGAGCGGAAGTCCCTGCGGCTTTGGACTTGGGACTTTTGCCAGGCGTCCTCTCGTCCGGGTGGAGGTCGATGTTACTGACCTTGCTTTGGGATGTTCCCCCTTAGACCAAGGGTCCTTCATGGGGATTATAGTAAGGGGGCTACCCTAAACCCTAAACCCTAAACCCTAAACCCTAACAGTCCCTAGTAGGGACTGTTAGGATAAGAGGGTACATCCAACAACACGGCGCCCTGCTGCACATGAAGCTTCATACCGGCTCAGAGTAAGACACACACATAAACATAAACCAGAAACCCTGCAAGAAAGGAACTGGAGTAGCCCTACAAAGAGTGTGAAGCAATCTGAAGCCCAGGAACAAAGGCACATTGACATCGTAACGTGAAGCTACCCTGCTGATGAGCCCAGCAGCGTCCCCGTGGATGTGGTGGCCGTTTCGGAAGTAGAAGTTGTGGATGTCAAGGACGTGGATATCGAGGTACTGGTCATCGAGGTGTTGGTCGTCGTGAACGTAAGCGTTGAGGATGAAGTGCTCGAGGACGTGGAGGTTGAGGATGAGACACTCGCGGTCGTGGTCGTCGTCGGAACCTCAAGCCCAAAATCGTCCAACAAACCGGCCTTTACGTAAGGGCTTAGGGATTAGGGTTTAGGGTTTAGGGTTTAGGGTCTAGGGTCTAGGGTCTAGGGTTTAGGGTTTAGGTTCTCAACCTGGACTCTTGCGGCGAGGAGGACTTTTGGGGAGATCAATGTGATATACGCGAGAGTCGAGGGTTCTGCCATTTTTCCAGGGCTTCGTACAAGGGGCAAGGAATCTGCCATGCTAGAACATCAGCCCAGAGGGAATGAGGGCCCTATATATGCCCTTTAAGGGATTACATAGGGCCCTCATTCCCTCATTCCTTGCTAAGAACCAGCCAGAAGAATCTCAAGCTGACTTCTCAAGTACAGGTGGCAAAGGAGGCACATGCGGGAACCACAAGAGGTTTCCATCTGGGACTTGACTAAAATAGGGGGACCCCCAACAAAAAAAGACCCCCAAATAGTCGGACTCCCTTATGATAGCTAAGGACCCCAACAAGGTACCCCGCCGAATTTCGGAAACCCCTATATGTCTGCCAGGCAACGAGGGCTCTGTAGCTCCAGAGATCATTCAATGGGTTCCTTTCGATGGCTCTTGCGTAAGGGTTAAAAATCGCTGTCAAGCTGTGTGTAGAAGGGCCCCCTGAACACTTCTGTGCATGCTTGCGGGAGGTTGCTCGAGCCCTCAGAGCAAACTTCGGGCCCTGAAACCCTGGACACCCTAAACCCCGGATACCCCGGGGGGGTCTCAACGCCACGGCACGTGCCATCGTATCCGCCGAAGACCAGAACTGACTCTGGCTCCGGTACCTCAGTGACGAGCTCCCTCCTCACGTCTCGCAAAGTCGGGGTCTGTCTTGACGCCTGTCCTTCTTAAGTTCGCATCCTTGAACAGCCCACAACTGGCCCACAACAATCTTCTTGCGGAGATCTTAGACGATAACATCTACCTGCGGCGAACAGATGCCAACGGGTGAGCGTCGCAGAGATGCGTTTAAGGGCGCAGGCTTCCTTTTGAAAGACTCCTGAGATCCCATCAATGCCTCCTAACAATCGAATTCGATGTACAACGTACTGTACTTCGGTGGGCAAATTTACATACGGGTGAAGACAAGCCACATGGACCGCCGTGAGGCCTTCCTGCGGAGAGGAGGCTGGGCTGTGCAATTTTTTGGGGGGACAACTCCAAGTCCTGATCCGACGAATCCGAGGGGCCCCCAGGCCCAAGGCATTTGGGGTAAACCGACGACTCAACGCCTTTCTCCCCCCCTCTCCCAGTCCATTTTCTTATGAGGCTCTATGGACCTTGATCGGGGTCCCCTGTGCACCAGCTGTATGGATCCTGTGCGGACGGCCTAGTCTGCGTGGCCCTGTGGCGGAAAGAGGTGCCCTGTGCAGGGTGCCAGGTCGAGCTTTCGAGAGCTGATCCATAGGGTCAGCTCTCCAAACTGCGGTCCCTCTTTGGGTGCCCCAAAACATGATATTTAGTGTTGGGCTCGCATACATGGGGCTTGGGGTTTAGGGTTTAGGGTTTAGGGTTTTACGGTTTAGGGTTTAGGGTGTAGCGTTTCGGGGTTTAAGGTTTAGGGTTTCGGGTCTACCAACAGTCCTTCATAGGGACTATAGTACCCTCCGTACCAGAATCCCGGTTAAGGACTTTTAGCATAAGGGCGAACATCCCAAGCTTCGTGGATGAAAATGCGCCCGTCTGCGGGATCTTGGGGCCTCTAGATAGTTCATGCCCCTGAGCCAGAGGTCGCGAGGCTTGGCCTGGAACTGGAGAGGGTGTAAGGTTTTAGGGTCCAGGGTTTAAAGGGTTTAGAGTTTAGGGTTTTCAGGGTTTAGGGTTTAGGGTGTAGGGTTCAGGGTTCAGGGTGCAGGGTGCAGGGTGCAGGGTTCAGAGTTCAGGGTTCAGGGTTCAGGGTTCAGGGTTCAGGGAGCCCCTTGAAAAATTAAACCTAGCAGAGGCCGGAGGTTTTTTGGGGGCGGCGACCTGCTTTGGATACGCCGATGTCTTGTGCAGGGAGCTCGTCAAGGGAGTCGAACCCGGCTACTAAAAGCTGCGTGAGGTTCACACGATATCCCTGGTCGCGGTCCCGTACACCCGGATAGACAAGGGGGTTGCTGAGGGGAAGCACCGAGAAGCTGTCGTCCTCAGGGAGCTGGACAGGGGGCAATGAGCTGTCTGAAAAAAGAGCGACAAGCATAACATGCTGCCGTATACTATCATATGATTGTGCGCGACATCTGGCCCGAGCTATATTCGGAGTGGAACCATCCCGGCCCCTGTACAACCTGGCCTCGTTTACGATGCTTTTTGTTGTGTTTTTTTGCCCTAAACCCAAAGACCTAAACCCTAAACCCTAAACCCTAAACCCTAAATCTCTGTGACTCAGTTGACCGAGCCCGTGTCCAAGTAGGCGTAGCAGATCGGTCCCTCCGCGATGTAGTGCCTCGTTCATGGTTGGGGAGAATAATATAAAAGTTTAGGGTTTAGGGTTTAGGGTTTAGGGTTTGGGGTTTAGGGTTTAGGGTTTAGGGTTTAGGGTTTAGGGTTTAGGGTTTAGGGTTTAGGGTTTAGGGTTTAGGGTTTAGGGTTTAGGGTTTAGGGTTTAGGGTTTAGGGTTTAGGGTTTAGGGTTTAGGGTTTAGGGTTTAGGGTTTAGGAGTAGGGGTTAGGGTACTTCTATTCCTTATTGGGTTTCAGTACCCTTAAAAATGCAAAAGGGTACCCAACCATGAGAAAGGTGCCTGTTCTTCGGGGTGCTACGAGATGGTCTCTTGAGAGTCTTTGGGGCATCCGGCTTCAACAGCAACTACTTTAGGGGCCTTCATAGTTAGAACAGGGTTTTCGCCGGTATTATAGTATAGTCATAAAGGGACCATCAAGGGATACTCGTAGTAATTATTCCGACCCTTAGGTTCGATCTGCAGGCGGTCATGTCATGAATGCACAAGCCGCGTAGAACTCTACCCCCCATGGATTCCCGAGGCTTCGCTATTCAGAATCTGATTCAGAAGCCGGCATCACCTACTCTCTGGCTACTTGCCTCTACACGTATCTACACCTAACCTCCTGGGCATTCTCCTCATGTTCAAAGGATTAAAACTCGTACCCCTAAGGTTGTACCCCTAAGAGGTTCCCTTGATATACTCCGAAGAGGGACCTTGCAGGATCTTTAAACAGGGTCCCCAAACGCAAGGGTACTCAAAGAGCCCAATACCCCTTAATTAAGGAATATTCTTCTGTCATAATTAGGATCCTTTTAAAATTGAAGCTATTGAAGCTATATTCCTCCTCAAGGGGGTATTGGGCTCTCTGGGTGCCACCTTAGGGGGTCCAAGGTATGAGCCGCATGGAGGGCAATGTAAAAGCTAACTTGCGCCCGGTTCTTTCCTGTGGCCGATTTGTTGCGGCATTCGTCCCTTCTCTCTCACCACCTTAGTACCTTCTGAATCTCTAAACCCTCAACCCCCAAACCCTGAACCCTCAACCCTGAACCCTAAACCCTAAACCCTAAACCCTAAGCCCTGAACCCAACGTAGGGGGCTTCAGGGCTTACAGAGGGCTTCTGAGAGCGTCAAACCCTGCACAAAAGCGGCCCAAGGTGCAGCTGGTCCCCTTCCATGCCACCGAAGAGAACCATGCAGTCCTCGGAAAGCTGGGGTGAGTTTAGGCTTTCGGGTTAAGGGTTTAGGGTTTAGGGTCTAGGGTTTAGGGTCTAGGGTTTAGGGTTTAGGGTGTAGGGTTTAGGGTTTAGGGTTTAGGGTTTAGGGTTTAGGGTTTAGGGATGGCCAGACATGCTCGTGCGCAGACT